AAGGACGTATTTCTTCACACAACGCACAGTCAAACTGTGGAACTCATTGCCAGGGAATGTTGTGAAGGCCAAAAGAATAACTTAGTTCAAAAAAGAATGACAGCCTAGCCTAGATGGTCAGCGATGCAACCCCATGCTGTGGGTGTCCCTAAGCCTCTGACTGCCAGATCCTGGGACCCGATGGCAGGGGATGGACCACTTAATGATTGCACTGTTCTATTCATTCCTTTTGAAGCATCTGGCATTGGCCACTGTTGGAAGACAAGATACTAGGCTAGCTGGACCATTGGTCTGACCCAGTATGGCCGTTCTGATGTTCTTATGTTATGAAGAAATCTGGAGTAGGCACTGGAACTTTTTGGATGTTTGTGGAACATTTTCCAATTTTTCTCCTCTGCAGAGAAAGCTGATCAGTGTCACACAATGCTATAAATATTATGGGTCTGCTATGCAGGTTCTCTTCTTCAAAGTGCAGACCTTTGTTGAGTGGCCTAGATGAAATAGGTTGCAGTTCCCAGTGGACAGGTTTGCTTCATACAATCACCCACCATCATTGTTTGCGTTAATTGCCGCTGTCGCTGGCATTTTCAAGAGGAAGAGATTTCTGATCACTGACAACTCTTTAATCTAGCACAAAAAGGCATCATGAGAGCTAGTGGCTTGAAGCTGCTGTTAGATAAAGTCAGAGTAAAAACAAGGCACATGTTTTCAGTGAGGGTAATTAACCATTGGAACAACTTGTTTAGGCATGTGGTGGAGTTTCCATCACTTGCAGTCATTAAATGAAGACTGGATGCCTTTCTAAAAGAGATGCTACAGCTCAACCAGAAATCATGGGCTTGACGCAGAAGTTCTGTGAGATTCTATGGCCTGTGTTATGTAGGAGATCAGAAAAGATGATCTCAGTTATCCATAGAATCATAGAATATCAGGGTTGGAAGGGACCTCAGGAGGTCATCTAGTCCAACCCCCTGCTCAAAGCAGGACTAAACCCCCCAAAATATATCGAGATATACCTATCTCATAGAACTGGAAGGGACACCGAAAGGTCATTGTGTCCAGCCCCCTGCCTTCACTAGCATCCCGGCCTTAAAATCTATACGTCTATGAAAGAAGACCGAGGAACTAATGGACTATAGAGACTGAACTGTCCTTTCACTTCTCTAGGTAAGTTTGGCTGGGCAGCGTGCAGGGAAGTCTCACGTTGCTGCTGTCCATGTTGTTCTTTGGCTCCCACCAATGGAGATTGACATTCTCCAGGACTGACCATCTAATACCTCACACCTTCCCTCAATACGCTTTACGAATGAAATTTTTTTTTTAAAGGCTGAACAAAAACATTATTATTACTACTATTATTTTTTGGGAACTAGGGAACTCGATCAAGATATTTGGGCCATCACGGTCTAAGAACTCATCTCTTCTGTTTTCTTTTGTGTGCTGCAGTGTGCTTAACCAAATGCATTATGCAATTAGTTTCTTGATGGTATCGTATTTGCCTTTGAAGTAGAGGCCCAGCTCCCTCTGGATATAAATATGCAACATTTGCAATTGAAAGAAAAAGGGTTTCTGAAACACGCATGTTTATTTATGTCTGCTGATTATTTCAAGCCCGCTCTCTTCAAGAAGAGAGGGAGGTTTGGACTTGGGGCTCTTTTCCTGGTTAGAGGTTTCCACACGGGGAAGAGCAAATAAACCTGATAGTAGCATCCCCAACTCCTGCACCTAATGACATCAGACTTCCAGACAGTGCGGAAATGGAATTAATTTGTTGGTGATTGACAAAAAAGAGCCACTAACTACCTAATTCAGACAGATGGGGCAAAATGATACCAGTGTGGCCTTTGCCAGCAGCATACATTTTAAATTAAATTAGACTATTTGTATCAAACTATTTTCCCTTTAAATTGAATTACAGAATGCTTCTGTTTAAGGGAGATTAAATTAAATTTAGGGCCTGAATACCAGGAGGTCCAAACAATGAAATTGCATTTTCAATTATATGGGCAGGACCATGTCAGAAGAAATCCTGTTTTGGATCCGTCAGCCAGAGAAGCTGATTCATTCTGAGTTGCTCTCGTACTCAAAGAGTTAAGTGCTTTCGTTTTTCTCTGCCTCCTTGCTTCCGCCCTTCCTTTATTGCCTGCATATGGCCTCTTGGTGCCAGGGCCCGTGGCAGCTAGTCACCGTTGAGACACTGCTGACACTGCCAGCTATGATCTCTGGAACCAGGTGCCACTGAGTCTAGTTCTGGACGCAAGGATCACTAGCTCTGAAACGACATTTGGTTTCTTCTCTCAGGGGTGCAAAGAGGAGATCTGGAGCAGGCACTCAAACTTCTTAGCTGTTTCTCTGACTTTTACATCTGTTACTCCCATTTCTTGCCATGTGCCTTAAAAAAGCCCAGATTGATCTGTCTGTCTATCGATCCATCCAGCCAATCTGTGTTGTGTTTTTCTATATATGAATATCTAGGGTGCTAGATAGTTCTGAGCCCGTGGTAGTTTTATCTAGTGGGTAGACTCAGGAGACCTTGGTTCTATTCCGGGCTCTGCCATTGGCCTGCTGGGTGACCTTGGGCAAGTCACTGCCTCTTCTCTCTACCTCTAAAATGGGGATAATGATATTGACCTCCTTTGTAAAGTGCTTTGAGATCTACTGAGGAAAACCGCTATATAAGAGCTAGATATTAGAATACCTACATAGAAGGAGTCTCGCACTGAGCCGGGACTTTTCTCCAGTGTGACTTCCTGGATCCATAGCTATTTTTAAAACGTTTGGGGTAAATTTGGTGCTCTTGAAAGCAAGAAACCAAGAGCTTTGCCTAGAGTTAGGTAGAACAGGCATGTGGATGCAAATTCCCTGACCTGGCCTGACCTGCAGCTACCCTTGCTGCTTCATATCTTGCCCCCTCATAGGTAGAGACTTCTGCCTGTTTCATAGCATGTGGTGGAACAAATATCCATGAGGAAATAGAAGGATTCCACTAAACTCATTCCACTTATGTCCTGAAGGCCACATCCTTTGGTAGGGCCGAGTTCTGCTGAGAAGGGAACTGGAATTCTGTTAACGGGCTAAGGAGAGTTCGAATCACAAAGCTTAAAGGGCAGCTGTAGACAAAAGAGTGACTCTGTAAATATGACATGTGAGTTCCATATTCTATATCAGTTTTTATAATGTATTTACCGCTATTGCATACAAACACCTTCCAGCTGTGCATTAAACATCGAGATTAATATCTGTCATGTGGTTTGTTCTTCTCTCATCCTTTCCCCAGGAGGAGAACTGTGTGTGCAGTGGAGTGTTCTGTTTTGGTAGGGTTTTGTTTTTGATGTTGCTTTTAAAAAAATGTTCCCTGGTTACTCCTTCTCAGTGACCTCAAGATCCAAGCTGCTCAGTTTACAAAGCAAACGGTAGTTTTTTCTATAACTGCGACTCCTGCAAATTCAATCTGGGATTTGAAAAATCCAGCTGGATTTTTTCTGCCCCTTATGTCATGATAGGTGATTAAAAACTTTCCAATCAAAAACGTACCTGGCTGTTTTGTTGGTGATGCATGAGGCAGAATGGTACTCCACTTGCTGTCTCCGAGCTGTGTAGGTTCTGCAGGGATAACAAAAGGAATCTGCTTTGAGTCAGTAGTAAAGTCAGCACCTTGGACACTTTTCAGAGTAGCAGCCGTGTTAGTCTGTATCCGCAAAAAGAACAGGAGTACTTGTGGCACCTTAGAGACTAACAAATTTATTAGAGCATAAGCTTTCGTGGGCTACAACCCACTTCTTCGGATGGACACTGAATGCGCACAGGGTGCAGGTCTCTTGAATTAGGTGGTATCATTTTTACATATGGTAAAATTTGCAAAAGCACCTAAATCTCATTTTCAAAAATGCTTATATCATTTAGGCACCTATGTTCCGTTGACTTTCAATAGGACTTGGATTTCTAGGTGACTTAAGTGTGTTTGTGACCTAAATCACTTAGTTTTCAAAGTGCCATTGAAAGTCAATGGAACTTAGGCACATAAGTGACATAGGCACTTTTGAAAATAGGACATAGATGCTTGTAAAAATTTTACTTATTGTCATTTTTAAGACCATAATCACACCTTGAAAAGGGTGATTTTTCAGCTATAGCATATCTAATTTAACCAATTATCTAAAGGGACTTAAAGGGACTCCTTGTTTGTGCTAGCAATACTTAGGATCACAGGTTTGTGCTAGCAATACTTAGGATCACATCTTTTTGCATATTTGAGCAAACTGGGTAAATTGCACATGATACTGTTAGATGCAACCATTGGAAGAATTTATCAAGGGGCGTGGTGGATTCTCTATCCATGACCATTTTAAAATGAAGATTTGATGTCTTTCTAAAAGATCTGCTCTAGGAATTATTTGGGGAGAAGTTTTACAGGGGCGCTGGAACAATTTGTATAGTGGGGGCGCTGAGAGCCATTGAACCAAACTGTAAAGCTTGTATATAATGGAAACCACTTCAAGCCAAGGAGTGTGGCAGCACCCCTAGTTCCAGCACATATAATGCTTTATAGCCTGTGTTATACAGGAGGTCAGACTAGATGATCACAACGGTCCCTTTGGAATCTGTGAATCTACCACCCATTTGAAAGAGTGATTGACAGGTCTGTGTAATTGTACATATGCAAAATATTATGGGTGGAGTTAAGGGAGGCCTTTATAAACAGCCCCTCACAAACCTCTTTCTCAAAATGCTTTTCCTAGAGGTGGACAGGATTTCTCAAAGCTCACATACCTAACTTTCCACAGCAGAGCTGAAACTGCTTCCTTTGTGCTTCTTGTACGATGTGCCTCCCATACGTGTATGCGGAAATAATTGTGTGAAAGGGTATTAAGCAGTTACCTTCCCATTGCAGAGGAGTTTTCGCCCAGCAGGAGGCAGTCCATGCTGTGAAGCTGTTCTACTGCATTATCTCAGCCTTGCAGGACCTCATTAACTGATTCAGCCTCTTTGCTGGCTTCTAGATTTTGCAGAGTTTGTTTTCCTGGGTCTGTTCCTTACTGAGATGTCCTTGAAGATGTACGGACTAGGGCCAAGAAATTACTTCCACTCCTCGTTCAACTGCTTCGACTTTGGGGTAAGTTGACATCAGCTACACAAACCAATGTGGTGTGGAAGCCCCTCCTTTGTTGAGTGATGTTATATGTTTATCAGTGAGTGCAAAGGCAATGATGTCCCATGGGCACATTTTACAGAGATTAGCTACTCCTCTCTCACTTCCCTGTATAAATCAAGTGAACAGTGAGATACAATGAGGAAACATGCCAGTCTGAATACACTTCCTCTAGGAATTGCCTCCTAAGAAACCCAGTAGCCAACCAGAACTGTATGTCTGTGGGAATTGTTTTCTGCTAAAAGCCCACATGGAACCAGTTCTCATCAGCAGCCTCACTAAGTGCTCTAATACCAGGAGATGCCATTTTCAAGTTAGGGGTGTGTTTGTGTTTTAAATCATGTTTCCCTTTGCTCGGATTCCCTACCATCCTGTGGGTGACTTCCCCTCACGATACATGGGCAGTGAGTTTCAAAGTTCTGTGTCCATAATGAGGCGTATATAATAAAAGTGGCATGTTTTGGGGGAGATGCTGAGCATATACTATTGATGTAAACATTTTTGCTCAGGCCCTCTGGAAAGACAGGACACTTCTATAGGTGTCTGTGGATATGGGCGTCTAACACAATGGGCTACATTCTGCCTACACATAGGCTTACACACCTTCTGTTGTCTTTAATGGGAATTATGTACCTGGATCCTAAGAGAGTATCTGGGCTGCAATATTTCGTGTCGCTGGCACTCAAGATGCAGTCACCACCATAAAGATTAGAGAAGGAAAAGAACAGCTGGGGCATCTCGTGTGTCCTCCAGCCAGTCTGAGGTGGACTTTACGTCTGACACCTTGGATGCTTAACTGACAAGATGCTGCGAGTGATTCCCTTCCCCTTCTGGGACTGAACTTGCTGTTTCTGCACCATTCCTTGACTGGGAAATGAATATTGAGACTCACTCCATTTCCCCTTTGGCAGGTGCCCACATCACAAATTCCACTCTCACAGCTGACTCTAATCGGCCCCTTTGTTGGCCATCTCAGCAGGGAGGCCAAGGACCGATTAGGCCTAGAGCCTGGACTAACCCCTTCTCTCTAGAGGGGGGCTGTTTGGAGCAGAACAAGGTCAGGAAAGGTGTGGTGTGTGTCGGGCAGCTGGCTGGGCTCCCAGCCCAGGAAGGGCTAACACCATGCCACTCTTTCAGGAAACGGTTTATTAATTAAGATTTTACAAGCTTTGCGAAGTCACACAAAACAAAGCTATTTCCCAGACCAACACCGCCCCCGCCCCCTCTCTCAGGGCCAATCATAGGAGCCAGCCTTCCTCCTGCAGCCCCCCTCAACCCCAACTGAGCTTTCTCAGCTCTTCATTGAATCACCTGACCTCTTCCCAGCTGGGGCTGACGGGCCCTAGAGCCCCTGCTGCTTAACGGGGTAAACCACCCTGTTACATGTGGGAAGCATCAGGTGTACTTTGCGAGGCTGGCAATCCCTTACCTTTCACTGGCACTGTGAAAAGAAAACAACAACAACAACAAACCCCTGACACAACATATCAAATATGCCTAAACTTGGCGATTTTCATGCTAAGACGTAGCATTTAGGGCTAGCTGTGCGGACACCATCCCCCAGTTCTGTGGGAGCAAACTGTCATGCAAATAATTGTGTGTGTGGCATTGCATCTGCAACTACTTGCACCCACAGTTTAAGTCACCTCGATGGCTACACTCCTGATTTTGGGAGGTAATCAGGGACTTCAGTGAACGTCACCTGAACTAAAAGCAACAAGCTGTTGTGGGCGTAATTTTGTGCCTGCAAAAACGAAGGTTCTGCTACGGCTGGACTGAAAATTTGGTTGGGATTTTCAAAGACTTCTAAGGGAGTTGGCCAGGGCCGGCCCTAGACCAACTGGTGCCCCAGGCGAGGAGCTTGTTCAGCACGCCCTCCATTTGTTAAACTTTTGAATACCTTATTTTTTTAATTGCATTTGTAGCCCATTTCATGACTCTGATGCATGATTTGCATGCGGGATTTATCCCCGTCATATAAGACGATAAAACTTGCTTACTAGGATCTGTAAATCTGTATTTAGTCATGCCATATATAAGCAGTCTGGAAGGTTCCACAAAGATCCCAGAACATTCTAGGAGGTTACTAAAAACGAATCCACATACGGAATACCTGAAACGTTTTACTTCAAACATTCTATTTTCCCTTTTGTCGCTAACCACCAAAACAGCACTCTGAGCCTGGCGCCCCCCAAGCCTGGCACCCCAGGTGGTCACCTGGGTCACCTACCTCTAAATCCGGCCCTGGAGTTGGCACCCAGCTCCTATTGAAAGTCAACGGGAGTGAGGCGTTTAACAACCTGAGACGCCTTTGAAAATTCCAGTCTGCGTGAGCTGTGTCAAGAAAATAAGCCCGTTTTTGTAATACTTTAATTTGGCTTTTAATTAACCTAAATTTATCACTGCCTCATTTTTTGTCAAGTTCTAGTGAAAGATGCTGGATTGATGTTCTCTATCCCCCACACAGGTACTGCATGGGCCACAATATGGCAAGCTTCACCCTCACTGCCTGCTAATTTCCCGTCATTTATTTCATAAAAGGCATTGTTAATCAGAATGCTCCACCCACAAGGAACAAAAACTTATACCCGATCTTGTGGGATGGATTATTTAAGAATTTTATATTAAACACAGAAGAAATCCACTGGGCTTTTGTTCATGCCATGCTGAATGAAGCACTGGTAATAAGTTTCACAGACTGGGATTCCCGGAGGGAGTGGGTTTTGAGCACTTTTCTTATTCTTCCCATTTTAGAGAGTCCATTGGGAACCCACCACTATCTATGTTTCTTCTCCCGCACCCACCTTCCCACTCCCCAAATTAATTCTGTTTCTTCACCCCCTTTGGAACAGTACACAGTTCTGTAGTCAGTTTAGTTTGACAAACCATTGAGATGAAACAGTTCAAAAGCAAAGAGCGAAGCAACAAAACAGAGACATTGGCCCCGGGGAGGGGTCGTCTGGTGGAGTCGTGTGTGAAGTTACTCCCAAGAGGTCATTTTAATATGGCAAGAAAATTAATTATCAATTTAAAACTCAGAGGGTCTGGGGGAAGGTTTCACTGATGCATGATGGATCCCTAGAAAGGATACACAGTGGAGGAGAGGAGAGTTGGGTTCTGCTCAAAAGGAGCTGGAATGCTGTACACAAATGGTGTTTTCAGGGCGTCGACAATCTCATATCATCACTCTGGTGTGGTAACTGGCATAGGTCTGTCTATTCACCTTGATTTTCTGTGAAAATTGCATTCCATGGTAGAAATAAGCCCCTCGTGCATTTCAAGGCAATTATTGTGCTTCTCCATCGCTAAAGTGTCTCAACCTTTGGTCTTGTCTGAAGCTAGATATAAAGGCTAAGAAATGCTTGTCTTACCTTATTACCTAAACAGTAACCTAGCGTTTATATAATTCCCCTTTACTATAATGCATTTTTCATTACTATAATTTCTCCCTATTTGCACTACATTTCATTGAAAGTCCCTTTGAATCTTAGGGTTTGTACTATTGCATAGCTGCCAACATTTTAACAAAATATGTCGAGAGACAATTCTGTAAATATCTCAAGGCTGGGGGCTGCTGAATGGTTGGATGCGAACTCTAGTGGATTTTAAGGATTTTTATTTAACTGCAAGTATCTTAATTAACCAGCATTTTAAAGGTTCTGATCAGAGAGATGCTTCCAGTCGATTTTACATCATGATAATACTTAGCTCCTATACGGTGCACACTCGTGAGCCCAGCTGTGCCCTTACTCATGGGAGTAAGGGGGTATATGGAGACACTTCACATCCCTGTGGGGGCTGCCCATATGCACAGTTTGGGGATGGGCACAGCTTCTGCCTGACTGCTATCCCCAGTCTTGTGCAAGTGGGCACTGGTGGGGAGTGGGAGGAGCCTTGGCTGTGACCTCACAAGAGTCACAATACACCAGCCAACACACAGAACTGGTGCAAAGGGGGAAGCAATCTGCACCAGCAGAAGGGCTCATGTACGGTGATTCTGCCACCACAGCAAGGGAGAAGCAAACAGCAGACTGTGACTTTGAGTTGCCGTCCTGCTCCAGGGGCAGTGCGATGACATGCCGCCCCTTTCTCCGGCTGGATCGCACATTTACAAAATTAGCACCATTATGTCGGAGAGTTTGGGCTTCCTTGCTGTTTCCTTGATTATACTGGCAGCCCTATTAGAATCCAGTCACAGTGCAGGAGCTGTCTCCTCTTTGGTCCCTAGCCCTTGTGGGAGGACCCAAAGCCCCAGCCGGTTATGCAACCATTTTCCCTTTTAAAATGGCTTGTTCTTGCAGGTGATAGTGGGGAGCATTTTTGAAGTGATTTGGGCAGCAGTGAAGCCAGGTACCTCATTTGGCATCAGTGTATTGAGAGCTCTTCGACTGCTGAGGATTTTCAAAGTAACCAAGTAAGTCCAGGTTCCTTTTTCGCTCCTTTTGGCTATTTAGCTCGACATTGCCTGCTTGCCTTGCACACTCCTGTTATAAAGCCATGTAGAATTCGGGCCCCAGCAGTAACTTCTGCTTCTGTCCATCCTCCTTACACTGCCAAGCATGAACTGCGATTATCGGATGGGAGTGCTACCAACACCCATGTCAGCCAAAGCGGGTGATTGTTGCTACAGCTGAATAAGTCATGAAGATGAAACTACTCCCCTGCAGAGGACAAGACTAAGATTTGCCAGCACAACAGCAGGAGGAAGCTAGTGCTGCCTGTACTGTACCTAATCTAGGAGTGTATTGAGGTCTTCAGTTTCCAGGGTTGTGAATCTGGCACTTTTGTGATCCAGTAGAGTTTGGTGGACGGACCTTTTCACTTGTTCTTCTGACATGTCAGGTTACTATGCGCTGGAATTAACAAACAGCAGTTGTGCAATTTGTAATCGATTGCTGCAGGATGTTAAAGTTGTAATGTTGAGCTAACTGAAAAATGGTATGGGCATTCGTGCCGGTTTTGTTTTTCCCCCCACAAACAAGTTTGCCCCTCCCTTCCTTCCTCTCTTTAATTATCTCTTTGTATTAACAAGAGGAGTATAGCAGCCAGGTGAGCGTTGAGGCAACTCAGCTCTGGTCAGTTAGCCTCACCTACCACATCTCTGCAGGATTGGGGATGCAGAGCAAACAAACTATCTTGCAATAAAAGGTATGTTCTTAACTCAGGTTAGCTAATGCACGTTAGCAAACTTTGGTTAAAATAGTGACAAAGACACAGCACTCCGCTTTTAACTTGGATTACCAGTTCTAGTTCAACGCCAGGCCCCCAAGGGTGTGTCTACACTGCAGCTGGGAATGACCCTTCCAGCTCAGGTAGACAGACGTGTGGTGGCGGGGCTTGCGTTAGTATGCTAAAAGTAGCTGTGTGGACGTTGCGGCAATGGCAGAGGCTCAGACAAGCCACCTGAGCTCAAGCCCCGTCTACCCCCCGGGACAAGCTCAGGTGGATCGCCTGAGCCCCTCCCTGGTGCTGCAACATCCACACAGCTATTCTTAGCGCACGAGCATGAGCCCCTCTCTACCACAAGTCTGTCTACCCGACCAAGCTCCCTCCCGGCTACAGTGTAGACATATCCCTGCAGAGTTGAAGTCGAGCTGCTAACCCAAGTTAAAAGCTGAGTGTGATGGGTTGACCCCTTGGGAAGTCACCTGATGTGCTGCAATTCCACTGACTTTACCTGTTCTGCCAGCCTGGGCCCCCTTTACCCTGTCTTGCCGTGCCAGGCTCTTAAAACCTCCTCCAGCACACACAGGCAGGGCCACACCCAGCTGCAGATCAGCTCTGGGAAGACTCAGCTTAAGGGACTTGCTCCAGCACTCGGATGTCCACCTCCCTTGGAGCGCAGCCCCAAAGAGAGATTCTGAAATTCGCCTCTTCCCTCAATGTGGAAGAGGGCTGTGCATAGAAATTTTGAAATTCTATGCCCCCAGTTAGAAATTGCATAAACTGGGTTACATTATAACCCAGAAATAAATGTATTAACTAGAACAGGTGTATTTTAAGTAGTTAAGGAGGTAGCAGACAGAACAAGGCTGATGACTAAGAAAATAAAACAGAGCACGCAAACTAAGCTTAATACACTAAAGAAACTGGTTACATGTGAGTTCTCACCCTAAATGTGGTTCTAATAATCTTCTTCACAGGCCAGACGTCCTTCCAGCCTGGGCCCAGTTCTTTCCCCCTGTTCAGTCTTAGACTATGTCTACACTTGCCATTTAAAACGCAAAATGCCCCTTTTTTATGCTAAAACCATGGGAGCGTCTACACTTGTTAATGACTTTTTGCAGTGAAACCCAGAAGTTTCACCGCAAAAAGAAAACCACCTTCACGAGAGGCATACAGCTCTTACTGCTGTTTTTTTCACGCTGTTGTGAAAGTGAAGACACGTTCTACCAGTGTAAACACCTTTTGGCCTCTGGAGGATATCCCACAGCTCCAAAAGTGACCACTCTGGCCAGCATCTCCGCTGCTCTGACGCCAGGTAAACAGATGTCCGCCCCTTCCCTGTTAGCCCCGGGAAGTTTGAAACTCACTTTCCCTTCGCTTGTAGATGTGGCAGGGGGTTTAAAAAAAATGCCACGAAAGAAACAAGGAAGTAATGGGGCTGCTGGGACATGAAGCAGTGCAGCACGGGGCACTGAGCAGAGACCCAGAATGCCTTTCGCACACACACCCCCAAGACCTATCCAGAGAGCTGCACTGTGGGATAGCTGCCCTACAGCGCTGCTCTCATCGGCAATGGAAGTGCTGCTAGTGTAAACACTCTCTGATGCCTGAGGAATTAAGTGAGTACACAAACCAGCACTTTTCTTTCACCGGTTCCCTATCACCGATGAAACTTACAATGCAAAAACTTTGCAAGTGTAGACATACCCATAGTTGTTTCCAGCAGTCATCTTGGGTGGGGTAGCAGGGGAGAACTCACGACCTGGATTGCCTCACTCCCCACCTTTAAATAGGATTTGCATAAGGCGGGAATCCTTTGTTTCCTAGTTTGACCCCGGTTCCCTTACAGTGGAAAGTTACAAGAAGTCCCAGGTAATGTTTTAGCATCAGGTGACAAGACCACCTGACCCTGTGTGGCCCTGGTGGTCATTCTTCACAGGCTGACCCACAGGTTCACGGGAAGACTAAGCTCTTTTACAGTCCATTGTCCTTGTTGATGGGCCATCCGCCCTGTCTGGCTTTTCCATTGTTGTACCTGAAGTGTTGGCAGTGGGCGTCACCCAAAGTAGCATAGTTGAAATACAGATACATAGATACAGAAATGATACATACACACAAATAGGATAATGGCATTCAGTAAATCATCACCTTTCCAATGATATCTCACATGAGCCATCTTGCATAGAGTATATCAGTTATGTCATATTCATATCATAGGCATATTTTCATAAAGAATATGGAATGACACGCCATACTGAGTTGCCATCTCTTTGCTGCTATTTTAACCTGTTAGCTAACCCGAGTTAGGAACACACCTTTCTTTGCTGTGTAGACCCACCCTTAGAGTTGTCTGGCTTTTTACGTGTTGATCGTTCTGCGGCTCCAACTTTCACCGGTAAGTGTCTGAGGAAACCCACTTTCTGGGAAGGGTGGGGAGCTGGAAAAATTGTAGGTTCTAAGCAGAAAAGTGCTCAATCAAACCAGCACCGCACATCTGACCATGAGCTAGTTGAGAAAGTTGGCAAAGCAAGAGCTCCAAATGCTACATTGCTGCTGTCTGGTTCTCATTACAGCCTCACCCTGGGCTAATTCTTTCCTTTTTGCCTGGCTTTCACTGCAGTCTTTCCCTGAAGCATCCTGCCCTGGGATTTTTGCCTCTAATCTGTTCAGCGGAAGGCAGGGGCACACCATCCTGCTCTGAATAATTGGGGGTATTACACCTTTTGATTTGGAGGCTTTTTCTTCCGTCAGCACAAGCCGGGAAGATGGTAAAAAGCAGAGCGACACGATGGTTAGGCACGTCACCACCGTGAGTGGGAATGCAGCCCAAGAGGCACAGAAATTCAGAGAGAGGAAGACAAGGAGAAAATAGCTCAACATAATTTCCTCCTTGTCAAGATGTAATGGGAACTGGCAACTGTAGAAATTTAACTCCTTGTTACAGCCCGGGGGCCTGTCATCAGTCCTAGATGGGTGCTGAAATGACCCGGGTATGCCCAGCGACTCTGGATAATCCAGCCACCTGACCTGTGTGTTTGCTGCCCAGTCATGTTAACTGAGAAATACCAGCCTGAGGCAGGCAGCAGCATGAGGCAGGGAAAATTCCCTTGGAGAACTTTCTGTCCTGGACTGTGGTCATGAAAACCCCTGTCTCTCCATCAGAGCAATTTAGCCTCTTTTTAGGGTCTAAGCCAGGGGTGGGCAAACTTTTTGGCCTGAGGGCCACATCAGGGTTCCAAAACTGTATGGAGGGCTGGGTAGGGAAGGCTGTGCCTCCCCAAACTGGCTGGCCCCCGCCCCCTATCCGCCCCCTCCCACTTCCTGCCCCCTGACTGCCCCCCTCAGAACCCCCAACCCATCCAACCCCCCGGCTCCTTGTCCCCTGATCGCCCCTCCCAGGATCCCCCGCCCCTAACCGTCCCCCCCGGGACCTCACCCCCTATCCAACACCCTCTGCTCCCTGTCCCAACTGGCTCGACCCCTATCCACACCCTCATCCCCTGACAGGACCCCGGGATTCCCATGCCTATCCAACCGTCCTCTGCTTCCTGTCCCCTGACCGCCCACCCCCCCAGAACCTCCGCCCCATCCAACCGCCCTGTGCTCCCTGTCCCCTGACTGCCCCCCGGGACCCCTGCTCCTTATCCAACCCCCTCCCCCCCGCCTCCTTACCGTGACGCTCAGAGCAGCATGTCTGGAAGCCGCGCCGCCCGGCCGGAGCCAACCACACTGCCGCGCTGCCTGGCAGGAGCTCGCAGCCCTGCCGCCCAGAGCGCTAGCGGCACGGCGAGCTGAGGCTGCAGGGGATGGGGGACAGCGGGGGGGGGGGCGGGGGCTAGCCACCCCAGCCAGGATTTCAAGGGCTGGGCAGGAAGGCATTAATGGGGGAATCTCGAGTAGGAGTAGAGAGGTTATTTTAGCTCTATGTTTGGCACTGGTGTGACTGCTGCTGGAATAGTATGTCCAGTTCTGGTGTCCATAGTCCAAGAAGGATGTTGATAAATTGGATGGGGTTCAAAGAAGAGCCATGAGAATGATTAAAGGTTTAGAAAACCTGCCTTACATTGATAGACTCAAAGAGCTCAATCTACTTAGCTTAACAAAGAGAAGGTTAAGGAGTGATTTTGATTAGTCTATAAATTCCTACATGGGGAACAAATAGACTCAAAGATTTAAAGGCCAGAAGGGACCATCATGATCATCTAGTCCAGTGGTTCTCAAATTTTTGTACTGGTGACCCCTTTCACACAGCAAGTCTCTGAGTGCGACCCCCCCATATAAATTAAAAATACTTTTTATATATTTAACACCCTTATAAATGCTGGAGGCAAAGCAGGGTTTGGGGTGGAGGCTGACAGCTCGCAACCCCCCATGTAATAACCTCTCGACCCCCTGAGGCGTGCCAACCCCCAATTTGAGAACCCCGATCTAGTCTGATCTCCTGCACGTTGCAGGCCACAGAACCTCATGCACCCGCTCCTGTCGTAGGCCCATATAGTTGTTAATCTTAAATCTAGGAAAGAAAGTTATAACACGATACAAGGGCTGGAAGTAGAAGCTAGATAAATTCAGACTGAAATAAGGCGTAAATTTTTACCAGTGAGTGTAATTAAGCATGGGAACAATTTCCCAAGGGTTATGGTGGATTCTCCATCGCTGACCATTTTTAAATCAGGACTGGATGTTTTTCTAAAAGATCTGCTCTAGGAATTATTTTGGGGAAGTTCCCTAGCCTGTATTATGCAGGAGGTCAGACTAGATGATCACAATGGTCCCTTCTGGCCTTAGGCTCTGTGAATCTATGAATTCAAAATAGCTTTTGAGAAATTTCCTTCAATTTTATTAATTTTTTTTAAAGTTAGTGTTTGAAATCTAAACGAAATGTTTGTCAACCTGAAACAACTTTTTTTTTTTTAACTTTTTGATTTGCTGAAAGATTTGAAAAATTCTGGGTTTGGGACAGCCCGAAACAATTAAAAAAAAAATCAGAAGAGGCAGCACACCAGAAAATCAGTTATTCACCCAGCTCTGCTTGCTGGTAGATGGTGGAGAAGGGCATGGTGTTCTAGGAAAAGAACTGGAAAAGTGGAACAGAGAGAAGTGAAGGAGGAGTGGGGTAGAAATAGAATAATTAGGAGCTTGTATGAAAGCCTGCTTCCTCTGTAAGCTGTTTTATGGAGTTGTGGCGGGGGGAACAGACAAATCATCGGGCACCCTTCTTCCACACCCTACAACAGCTGCTCTGCAGTAAGGATTTCAGGTTAAGGGCCTGTCCCCCATAGCCCAGGTGGAAACTGTGGAGCAGGACTGCCATCAGGAACCCAGGCTCTGTGTGGTAGCTTCCTGGTCTGGAGAGAGGAAGTGATAGAAGTAACTGGAGAAAAAGGAGAGAGAAAGAGCTGGAAAAATTCCTGCTTGCTATCCCAAAGTGATCAGAAAAACTTGAAGGGAATGTCTACACCGCACATTAAGCCTGGGCTCTGACTCAGGTTTGAGGCCAAGCCCCTCTTCTGTCCACACACCAATCATAGAACCACAGGGTTAAAAGGGGCCGCAAGGGTTATCTAGTCTAACCCCCTGCCAAGGTGCAGGATTTGTTGTGTCTAAAATCAGTCAGACTCAGGTCAGCAAGCACTCAGCACCCAGGTTTTAGAACCCTGCTTAGGTCAGAGCCTGAGTCCCACTGAGCCTCGGGGTCCAAGACCTGCCATTTTGCAGTGTGGACGCAAATCAAACCACAGACCTGAATAAGAAGGTCTGAATAGTGCTGTATGGACATGTTAGCACAGCTACGGTAAACCTGGGTTTGCAATGCAATATGGAGGCTCAAGCATGGGCTTGGAAACTCCATGTCCACAAGCACAGGTCCCACAGCCGTAGGTTTACAATGTAAACCTAGATAACAGCATATCCAAAGGTTTAAATCCCTATCTCCCATTGTGTGCTCTAACCCTGTTGTTTCTCAGGCTTGTCTGTCTAACGGGAGATTGTTAAAGAGATCCTCAGCTTTAATAGCTCTATCTGCATTTTCTGATTCATTAGTTTTCCTAATATAAACGTTCCCTGCTTGTTCTCAGCAGGATAATAAAATAAAGAGAGAGTGCCATTTCTATACATCCTCTCAGGACCTCCTTTATTTAGCCTGCCTCTTCCACCCTTGTGTGTGTGTGTGTGTGTATGTACGTGCCCATAATGACAAGGGATGGAATAAATCCAGGATGACCTGGTGGGGATAACAGCAGATGGAACAGCAGTGCCTGGCCAGGTGGAACCTGCTGTATGGAGGTCATGAGCTGAGGTATGCTCTCCTTCCTTGAGTTCTTGTCCACAATTTGCACAATTTAGGGGTTTGATGCAGTGAGGTTAATTTTTAATCATGACTGCCTGCTAAATAGGATGGCCAAATCCCCCTTAAGTGCTCACATTCTATGCCTAAAAGTCTGTTTCAATTTAAATGCCTGAATGTGAGATTTTTTTTTTTAAGGTCTGTCTGTGGAAATCAGGCATGAAACAGTTGAAAGTTCATGTTTAAATAACTTCCCAAACAACATGGTGGGGGGAATCAGGCTCCTATGGAAATGAACCATTCAGTCCTGGCTCCAGTCTTACCAAAATGACTAGTTCACAGTCCCCGCCAATTCATTCTGGCCTTGGCATTATCAGTAAATCCTCATTCTTGGCATCCCCAACAGTTGGTATGTGTAGTAATGGAAAGGAAAATGCATGGGATTATATACTGTAGGGAACAGACCTATACTGCAGAGAGGATGAGCTAAGGAATGCTGCATTGTTTAGAACATTTAAAGTTAGATTGGACAAAGCACTGCAGAATTCATGGTAGGTGACTATTCTCCGCAGGCAGGCATTTGCTCAGGAGGTGCTTTCCATCTCTGACTTCTCTGATTCTGTGTGTTATTTTGCTATCTGATAGACTCAGGTGGGCCACATTGTTCTGCTGGCATTACATCAGTGGAGAGTTTGGCCCAGATGAATTGAAGGAGACTGTTCAACTTGGACTGTGTCCCATAGAACACTCATCATCAGGTCCCTTTTAAAGAGCTAGATCGTTTTAATCTCTCCTGGAAGTGGCCCCTCCTCGCCCCGTGACACTAATGGTTGGTTGCTTTGATTTACAACCTAGATACTGGAACTCCCTAAGGAATCTGGTGGTCTCCTTGCTGAACTCCATGAAATCCATCATCAGTTTGCTCTTCCTGCTCTTCCTCTTCATTGTGGTGTTTGCTCTGCTGGGAATGCAGCTCTTTGGAGGACAGTAAGTGTAGTGTGCTGCTCATATCAAAGCAGTCCCCGAGGAAGGCAAAAGGCTGACGGGGACTGGATGGCTCAGAGGATGTGCAAATCTGGTTTAAATTCTTTCATGTGGAAAATGTTCCTACTGGAACATAGTTTTATCAAACCTGAGATTTTTTTTTTAATGGGACAATGCCAGTTTCTATGAATAATTTCAGTTTTCCAAAGTGAAATGTCAAAACAAGCATTTTTGTTGCAAATTGACATTTTGAAAGAAACGAAGAGCATTTGTTTCGTTTAAAGATAAATTTGTCGTTTTGTTCTTTAAAAAAATAATCTAAACAAAATGACATTTGATGTTGAAATGTCCATTCATAGTTTCATTTAGTTTATTTTCAGTTGGATATTTCTGATTTAAAACTTTTGTTCCACAACATTTTTCAGTGTTTTGATTTTTCCATTCCCATTTAGGGATGGAAATTAATTTCAAAATGTTTGAATTTCCCCTGAGTCGAAAATGCCATTTTCTTAACTGTTCTGCTAAACACACCTCTCTTGGGTCATGTCTGCACTGCACTTTCGGCGGTAAAAACACACCCCGGACCGACAAAAGTTTTACTGATGAAAAGCGTCGGTGTGGACAGCGCTGACAAAGCTACTGCCCCTCATTGGGGGTGGTTGTATTTTGTTGGCGGGAGAGCTCTCTCCCGCCGACAAAGAGCAGCTACACTGTGTCCTGACAGTGGCGAGGCTTTAGCGGCATAGCTGTGAGGCTGTAAGCTGCGCAGTGTAGACACAGCCTTACTTAACATACCGCATCCCTTCCTGAAACTGACCAGATTATCTCTATGTGGAGCAAATGTTGTCTTCTGACTCTGGCGATAGAGAATTATGAGAGCATAGATATTTTTTTTCCAGCACTGTTTTAATTTTTAATTTTTATTTCCTGCTTAGGTTTAATTTCCAAGATGAAACACCGACCACAAACTTCGATACGTTCCCTGCTGCCATCCTCACTGTGTTCCAGGTAAAGCTTCCTCCTTTACGGGGTGTGCGCTAGAAAGGAACATGTAGACATCTGTCGGTTCCCGATGGAGGAGATGTCCCTCAAGCTATCTGGAATTTAGGAAAGGAGAAAGTCATTTTTGTTTGCTCATCGCCAACTGTTTATTAGAGAAGAACTGCTCACAATGTGCTGTGGGATTATAATGCACACATTTACCAGTGAAATGATCCATTAAAATAAATGCTGAGGGGCTCTTTGAAATTCAGGCAAACAGAATTCTTTTACGGGGAAAATGGACGGTCACTTTGCACAGACAAAGCATAATCCAAGGACTGGAGGAGGCCCTCCAGCGTTCTTCACGAGGTCACCTCCACAATACCTTACACTGCAGTGGGACTACTCGTGTGTTGTCCTCTGCACAGCATCTATAATGGCATAATGTAGCAAATGAGCACACAATGATCCGCTTCCATTTTCTCCATCAGTTGCCATACGTTCATGAGGAGAGTTGCTGGAGAACGGCCTGAGGCAATGAGGAAATAATATAGCATTTTGCACTACCAAGGTTGCAGGATAAGATTGGATAAGAATTAAAATCAGTGGGGGAGCCAGGAAAGAGTCATCAACCTTAGGCAACACGATGGGATGGTCTGGGAGAGCTGCAGCTCAGGTTTTAAGGCCCTGATTCTGCAGCTGCTCCATGCCTGACATTATTACAGAATCACTTGCTTAGTTAGAGAAACGGGAGTGATGCGCCCCGTTCTGTTTGAAACAGCAAGTGAATTTTCATTTGCCGTTGGGAGACCCATGAACGTAGGGGCACAAGCTCGGCATGGATGTCATTTACCACTCGGTTCACTGTACATCCATTTTTGCTGGAGATGGGCTCAATCTGAGAAGTTCGAATTTGGATCCAGACCCAAACGTCCCCAAAGTTGAGTGATGCCCGGATTGGACATTCCAGTTCACAGTCCTCCAAAGGAGTCTTGTGGTTAAAACAGAGAACGAGATCTGGGTTCTATTCACAGGTCGGCCACAATATCAGTGAGTAACCTTGGGTAAGCTGCTTTGCTATGGCCCTCAATTCCCCCAGATGTGAAGGGGGGGTTATATTACTCAGCTTGCTGAGATGTTGCAAAGCTTACTGCGCTCATATTTGCAAAGTGCTTTGAGGTTCTTCCAAGGCAAGATCCTATAGAAGAGCAAAGGTATTGTGACAGAGACAGGACTGAGCTGAAAAGCGTAGCTCCAGATATGAAAATCCCCAGACTCTGGTGGAGTTTTGGTTTAAGCCAATTGTTACCTGGTGGAAAATTTTATAGTACTTGCTTTCCACTCACATGATAAAGACACTAGGCAATAAGGCTTCTGTGGGATTAGAGTGAGTCTTTGCAGATCAGTTATGAAATTTATGTAAAAGTAAGTGTAAAATGGCAACACAAGATAAACTCAGTGAAATTTTGAAGCGAGCTTCTGCTACCCTGTTCATTCTGAAGAAGTAATTTGATGTCATGTTTCCCCCCACCACACACACAACCATTCAGAACACTGTAATAAGGGCTCCCCAAACCCAGCATTAGACCTTGCCCCTGCCTCAGTTTCCCTACTCTCCTACAAGCCAGTGGGCCAACTCACTGGCCAGTGCATCTATGGCTACGACTATACTTGGAGCCGGGGGCGCGATTTCCAGCTGGCATAGACATATCCAAATGTAGATGTAGCCAATGACACTCCCACCAGCGTCAGTTTTTCAGTCCCTTTTTCCCAGCAAAGCATTTATTGCTCAGACACAAATATAGATCAACATCAGTTGAAACAGGTAAACCACCTCCTGCCCCCAGCCCCTCCTAAGGCCACAGAGAGCTTCTGCTGTAGCCCACACAGCAGGTATCCCCAGCCAGGTCTTTCACCTAGCTGGCACAACAAGCCCTCCCTTCCCAATCCTTTCCTTGATCTCCAGTCTGCTGTAGGAGCCACTCTACTCCCTTCAGCTCTCCCTCTGAACTCAGACTGCCCTTTGTATCTCAGCAGGAGTGTTTGAGTCACAGTCTTCTACCATGTGACCCAGGGCATTGTAGCAAATTGCTACATCTCTGTACTCCAGCAATCGGCTCAGCAAGAAATGTTTACAACAACCATAGACACAGAGGCTGTTTATAAACCAGAAAAACTTCAGTTAGCTGTCCATGCAGCACTACTTGAGGGTTGCCACTTAAATAATTATACGTTGCTAGCTGGTAAGAGGTAGGCCATTGACGGGTGCCTGAGGGGATGTGGACTGTTGGAGACAGGATGCTATTGAACTTTGGCTCTGCTGAGGGATGTTTTGTTCAGTAGCTGAGCTCTCTAAGTACTGACTTCAGTGACCCTCTGCTTTTGGCCACTCTAGCTGTCTTCTTTTCTGAGTCGCTTTGCATGTGTGTCTGATGTTGGGTTTAAATTCATTCAGGTCCCGGTTCAGAAAGCATCCCCATTCAGGACCGCACCTTAAGTACGCGCTTCAGTGGTTTCCTGAATTGGCATCCCAGGCTTTGACATCACTAACACGCACTAGTCAGTCCAGTATTATTATGGAGCAGATTTTAAAAGCTATTCTTATTCTATCATCTGATGGCTGTTCAGCCAAACCTTTGCATTCAATACTGAGCAGTGCCGGCCAAACTAATCACCACAGACAATCCGGTAAGTTTTGCCCATTGATCTTTCTGCAAAAGTTCCATAAAACAAACTTGGACGTTTGTGACTTTTTTCCATATTTCAAATGATCTGGCAAATAGTGTGAGTTTCTCACAGATCATTTCCCACAGCTCTTATAGATTCATAGATTCATAGATTCTAGGACTGGAAGGGACCTCGAGAGGTCATCGAGTCCAGTCCCCTGCCCGCATGGCAGGACCAAATACTGTCTAGACCATCCCTGATAGACATTTATCTAACCTACTCTTAAATATCTCCAGAGATGGAGATTCCACAACCTCCCTAGGCAATTTATTCCAGTGTTTAACCACCCTGACAGTTAGGAACTTTTTCCTAATGTCCAACCTAGACCTCCCTTGCTGCAGTTTAAGCCCATTGCTTCTTGTTCTATCCTCAGAGGCTAAGGTGAACAAGTTTTCTCCCTCCTCCTTATGACACCCTTTTAGATACCTGAAAACTGCTATCATGTCCCCTCTCAGTCTTCTCTTTTCCAAACTAAACAAACCCAATTCTTTCAGCCTTGCTTCATAGGTCATGTTCTCAAGACCTTTAATCATTCTTGTTGCTCTTCTCTGGACCCTTTCCAATTTCTCCACATCTTTCTTGAAATGCGGTGCCCAGAACTGGACACAATACTCCAGCTGAGGCCTAACCAGAGCAGAGTAGAGCGGAAGAATGACTTCTCGTGTCTTGCTCACAACACACCTGTTAATACATCCCAGAATCACGTTTGCTTTTTTTGCAACAGCATCACACTGTTGACTCATATTTAGCTTGTGGTCCACTATAACCCCTAGATCCCTTTCTGCCGTACTCCTTCCTAGACAGTCTCTTCCCATTCTGTATGTGTGAAACTGATTTTTTCTTCCTAAGTGGAGCACTTTGCATTTGTCTTTGTTAAACTTCATCCTGTTTAACTCAGACCATTTCTCCAATTTGTCCAGATCATTTTGAATTATGACCCTGTCCTCCAAAGCAGTTGCAATCCCTCCCAGTTTGGTATCATCCGCAAACTTAATAATTGTACTTTCTATACCAATATCTAAGTCGTTAATGAAGATATTGAACAGAGCCGGTCCCAAAACAGACCCCTGCGGAACCCCACTCGTTATGCCTTTCCAGCAGGATTGGGAACCATTAATAACAACTCTCTGAGTACGGTTATCCAGCCAGTTATGCACCCACCTTATAGTAGCCCCATCTAAATTGTATTTGCCTAGTTTGTCGATAAGAATATCATGCGAGACCGTATCAAATGCCTTACTAAAGTCTAGGTATACCACATCCACAGCTTCTCCCTTATCCACAAGACTCGTTATCCTATCGAAGAAAGCTATCAGGTTGGTTTGACATGATTTGTTCTTTACAAATCCATGCTGGCTGTTCCCTATCACCTTACCACCTTCCAAGTGTTTGCAGATGATTTCCTTAATTACTTGCTCCATTATCTTCCCTGGCACAGAAGTTAAACTAACTGGTCTGTAGTTTCCTGGGTTGTTTTTATTTCCCTTTTTATAGATGGGCACTATATTTGCCCTTTTCCAGTCTTCTGGAATCTCTCCCGTCTCCCATGATTTTCCAAAGATAATAGCTAGAGGCTCAGATACCTCCTCTATTAGCTCCTTGAGTATTCTAGGATGCATTTCATCAGGCCCTGGTGACTTGCAGGCATCTAACTTTTCTAAGTGATTTTTAACTTGTTCTTTTTTTATTTTATCTGCTAAACCTACCCCCTTCCCATTAGCATTCACTAGGATAGGCATTCCTTCAGACTTCTCGGTGAAGACCGAAACAAAGAAGTCATTAAGCATCTCTGCCATTTCCAAGTTTCCTGTTACTGTTTCTCCCTCTTCACTAAGCAGTGGGCCTACCCTGTCTTTGGTCTTCCTCTTGCTTCTAATGTATTGATAAAAAGTCTTCTTGTTCCCCTTTATTCTCTTAGCTAGTTTGAGCTCATTTTGTGCCTTTGTCGTACTTTGCCTTTGATTTGCATAGCAAATCACTAGTCGTGATTTGCTATGCAATCTGTGATTGGCTTCCTAAGTCACATGATATTTCTGCTTCCTGGCTGGATGACTCCACAAGCCACAAATAGCTTTCCAGTATGGTTGCCAACCCTCCAGGATTGTTCGGGAGCCTCCAATTGTCAGGTGATGAAACCTCCAGGAATAACCTCCAAACAAAACTGGCAACTCTGCTTTTTCCAGTTGACCCCTAAACACTCCCATCCTGATTTTTCAGGCATATGCCTGTTTCCCCAGCTTCTCTTTCCATGAACATTCTTGTGAACCAAATTCACTCACATGAATGGACCTGGAAAGCAAAATGAAAGCAGATGCACGTTCATGAGAATTATTTGAACAAGTGTTTGTGAATCCTGTTTTTCAGAACTCATCCAGCACTAGTGCTGAGAGACCAATGGCCAGAGTCAGTTACTCAAGTTACACTGATGTAACCGAGACCAGAATCTCTGTCCCTAAGTGGTCATTAGGATATACACACTGCACTATATTTGCTAGTCTGCCATAAGAATCATCATTGTATCTCAGCCAGAGCCTTTCCCGAGGTCAGGAGCTGGTGGGCAGTCTGAAATTTGAAATTCTTTCTAGTATATCGTGCACATGTGGGTCTTGATTGCTAACAATACATCATATTTATTTTCTTACTAAATACAGACCATTCAAACTTTCTATTAGTGGGTTGGAGTACTGAATTCCAAAAAACATTTCCTAATGCACTAAGAAGCACTATCATTAAAACCCCCCATACGGGGCAATCAGAACGCTAGGTGCACAAATTTCAGAGTGCTGAAAACACAAAGAAAGTTGTTGAAAAACGGGGATGGCAGAGGCTCAGAAGAGTGAAAGTTTTGATGTGGCATGAGCACCTAGGAGCTGTGATGCTTATCAAAGCCTGAGACAAATTCATTAGTCACTGTTTGTTTAGCTATTATTCATGTACTATTTATTGTTATTGTGTCTGCATCCAAAGTCCTCAAATCAGGATCCGGGTCCCATTGTGTTGTGCCCTGTACAACCACATAGGAAGTCACAGTCCCTCACCTACGAACCCAAGATTTCTCCTCCTTCCGATTATGTTCTTCATTTAGATTCTGTGTTGGGTTTTGTGCTTCTCTGGCCTGGTGGTTGCTGTCTGCAACATTTGGCTGTCTGTGGCGCCTTGTGGTCAAAGACGGCAGGGAGCAGCAGGCGCTGACCAGACCCCTGTGTAACCCACACACCTTCTGGTGTGGTGTTCTGTCCCATCTAGCGGCAGTGAGACCACTTAGAGAGAGAGAGAAAATGAGTCTGCTCTACAGCCTTAGCTAACAGCCAGTTGGCTTTTAGCTCATGTGGTAGAGGCTCATGCACTAAGCTCCCTAGGTCCCTGGTTTGATCCCACCCGCCGACGAACCAGGGTCTGTTGGCGTTACACCTGCACCTGCTGTTACCGACAAACCAAGATGGTGGGGCTACCAAGTGTCCAATGTCTCCTGTGACGCTTGTCTGACTCAGCCCCATCGCATCTGCCTGGAGCCCTGTAGGATTTAGTAGGGAGGCAACAGGGATCCTCCAGGTTACTAGGGCTGCTGTAAGGGTAAATTGTAGCTTAGCTGCCTCTTTCCCTCCACTCTCACTGCTCCCCGGCTGGAGCCAAGCTGCATGGAGCAGCCAGGAGGAGGAAGCAGCTGTGGCTGGTAGCCTGGTGCTGTGCTGCTGGCGAGGGAGAAGGGTGGGTAGAAGAGGGGACAGATGGAGAATGGGGCAGGCGAGTAGGAAGTAGGTTCCACGGTTGCTCCACGAGGCTGCTGGGTGGTGCTTGCTGAGCAAAAATCCAGATGGCCTCTCTGCCCACCCCTCTTGCTGCTCAGCCTGTTGTCACTCTGCCAGGGCAAAGCATGGAGCCGAGGTGAGAGCAATGGCTGGTTGAAAAAGAAGGTGAGGGATTCGCTGCTGGGCTCTGCCTCCCTTCCATTGCCAGCACACCCACTTCCTCCAGCTGCACCCTGGTACCTCCTCAGCATCCTTCCAGCTACTCCAACACCTGCCAGCTAGCTCCCCTCACCCCTCAGCTCCCCCACCTGTCCCCCAGCACCCACCAGATAGCACTCAGGAACCCCCCCAGCTGTCCCAGGCACACTGCCCAGGTACCCCCTCCCTAGCACCCGCAACTTGAAACATCTTCCAGTTACCCCAGACACAACCCCAGCCAGGGTACCTCCTGCATCAGGAGACATCTGCCTTTGCCCCATAGGCAGCCAGTAGTGTTCCCCCCTGCCAGAGGCAGGCGCTTCTCCTGCCCCCCTGTGGAGTGAAGTCAGTGACTCTCTCCCTCTCCCATCCATGGGAAACATCACAGGTGGAGCTGTGGAAATCTTGGCCCCTATGCATGACTGGCTAATGGAAGGAAACCGAAAATTCCACTGGGCTGGCCTGGCAAGGGCATATGGGAGTAGGGCTGCTACCACTTCTGCATGCTGGCAGTCTTCACTCTGTGTCCAGCCGCCAATCTCACAGTGCCGGTGCTGCCAGGCAGCAGAAAACAGGCAGCCCCAGAGTCCGCTGAGGGAAGGAGTTTTGAGGCGGGAATAGGACTAAGGAGCAGCCATTAAGTGCTGCTACTGGCCTCCTGCTGCCAGTGGTCCCAAGTACTCCTCAGCCCTCATGGCAGACCACAGATGTCTCTGGTTACAGGGCCCTCTCATGGGCCTCCTCCCAGCCCAAGCTTTGGATCTGTGGATCCATAAATCCTGCCTCAAACCACCCCCAGCTGGCTGGAAGGAATTTTATAGAGTCTGGTGGTTAATACCTATTTTCTCTGCTGTACCTCCCAATAATCACTATATTACTTTGGTTTTATCTAAACCAAAATAGTTTAAACAATGTATGTTGAGGAATGTAATTGACAGGAGTTCTCAGAAGGAATCTCTCCCTATCCTCTTAAGGGAGGCAGAAAAAATGCAAGCGACTACCAGTTTTAGGTAGATATGTATGCGGCGTTGTAGCTACGTTGGTAGAGACAGGGTTGCAGTTGATCTGCAGAAAGAGCTTCTAGAAACTCTTATGGGCAAAAGAAGGCTAAATAACCTGAAGGTGTTGGACAGGTTTCTGGCACACCCCTTTGCAGTGGCCTTCTTATCAGTAGATTTCCCTTTGAGGATCTGTGCCCATGGCTGTATATAAATGATGCTTAAACACTCCAATCCTTTGCTCATCTCTCTCTCTCTCTCTCTCTCTCTCTCTCATATTTAACTACCCAGATACTGACTGGCGAAGACTGGAATGCAGTGATGTATCATGGGATAGTATCACAAGGTGGGGTCCACTCAGGAATGTTCTCTTCCATTTACTTCATCGTCCTGACATTGTTTGGTAACTGTATCCTTGCACTTCAGTATGAATTGTCCATGGTATGACATGCTGTCTCTCACTGGCAAATCAGCATTCAGGATTCTCCAGCCTCCTGAAGTGCTGGAAGGCAATGTAGTGTAGTGGGTGAAGCCCAAGTCTGGGAGTCAGGGCACTTTGGTGCTATTCTGACTCTGCCACCGGTTTACTGGGTGACCTTGTGTAAGTCACTTAGGGCTTGCCTCTGCACAGACCTGCTCCAAACACTCAATTGGTTTTAATTCATACCTTTTGGTATTTCACGGCAAGTCTGTGTGTGGACACTTACTTCAAATTAAGAAAGTCCCATATTGATTGAATTTAAGCCAGGGAAAAAATAATTTAAGATAAATCCAAATAGAACCTTTTAGCGTGAAGTGTGTCCACACACATACTTGCACTGAAATGAAATCCAACGTAGGCTAGGTCTACACTACAGCCTAGGCCGGCAAAACCTATATCACTCAGGGGTGTGACTGTTCCACCCTCCGGGCGACAGAAGTTACACCGGCATAAGCACTCGTGTGCACAGCGCTATGCTGACAAGAGAGCTTCTTGCGCCAACATAGCTTATGCCAGTCGCATAAATCAGTAGGAGTTTTGCCTGAGTAAGGACTGCAGGATCAGGATTGAATAACAGCCTATTGCTCTAACACACTGAGTCTTTTAATTATTCAGTGTAAAATTATATGATGATGTATTAATTTATTAGTAGACATTGAAGCCTACTACTTTTAGCAAATTCTAATCTCAAGAAAACTCCAGAAAATATTTATTAGATACCAAGTCACCACACTCATACCATATAGATTAGATTTCTCTTTAGACCTTGTGATTTTGGTACCACTGTTATATACTGTGATAAAGTAATTGCATACTTAGTAATGAATTACAGGGGTGAAAAATTCTTTACTAAAAGCAAGTTAAAAGTGCACTTTTCAGCCTTGATTCAACAAACACCACATCTAGCTTACACATATTGTACCATTCAGTGCATAGAGCGTCTTCACTGCACGTGCTGCAGTGGTGAAACTGTATCGGGACAGCTGCAGCACTGTATGTATATACACGGCCTTAGTTATTTATTTGGTGAATGTTTGAGTGTAAACTACCCCTTGATCTCCCTGTTTCTCAGTTTGTTTCTCCACCTGTAAAATAAGGATAATAATATTCACCTTTGTGAAACGATTCAGGGTCTTTGGATGAAAGGTCCTACAGCAGGGTAAAGGAGCCTTAACAGGCTGATCAGAGTGCCTCACAACCACCTCCTACCTGAGAGAGCCTCTTTCGGCTTAGCAGCCTTTGCTCCAGGTCAAAAAAGATGTTTGTTTGGGAATTTGTATTAAAGGGCGGGTGGCGGGGGTGGGAGAATAGCTGTATTGAAACAGTCCATGTAGAATCATTTTGGGGGGGAAAGTGAGAAAACAAGGTAAGTGCACATTCACAGCAGCATACCCGCCTTTCATTTTGCACGTTTCTCTGTATTCAGCGTGAGGCAATATGATAAGGAACGGCAGATTAAATGGCATCTGAGTTGTAGTTGTCACATTAGAGGCTGTCTTCGGAATTACCCAGCTCTAATTCAGACTGTCAGTGAGCAGCAGTATCTACTACATGGAGACGGGCTCGGTCTTTGCACTAGGGTATCCAGCTCAGGCAGTGCAGAGACCCTGCTGGAAATAAGAGGATTCTGAAATTGGGAGGGGGCGGGGGAGGAGGGAAGAGCTCTGGATCCTTAGGGCTTGGCATTTGAAAATGAGATGAAAATATAATCACATTGAGAGAGAGAGACTGGGAGAAACAGGCTGGCTTTTAACCGTAAAGAGACTGAGATCTAATGCTTTTTAAAAGGATATGGATTGCATTCTTATCCCTTTTCCCCCCCTCCACCCTCGCTAATTCTCTGCTCCTGTACACTGATGTCACTGCACAGAATTCATTAGTTTCACCAGCATAAAACGTGTATGATGGAATGGCGAATCAGAGTGTAGTTTTCAAAGAGTATTGTTCAATTTGAGAGCCACCAAGGGACAGTCTCTTCCCTGCACCAGCCCCTTTTAGAACTCTCCCTGCAAAGGAGCTGTGTGAGATGGTTCGCAGCATAGGTATGCCGAAGGCAGGCAAGGGAGTGGACAGAGCGCTGTGTGCTCTGGATAGCCCATAGACAGCTATACAAGGCTGTGTAGGTTAGAGCAGTCCCCAAGGCTAGCCTAACATGCATCTGGAGCCACTCCAGTACCTGGAGCAGTCCAGAATTAGGGAGGCACAGAAGCCATAGAGACTTTCTCCAGACTGACCCAAAGATGTTGTCCTGACCTACTTAGGAAGAGCCCTGCCCTTTATGAAATGCTGTGAGGGACTCTCACGGGGCGGGACTCACCCCTGCGGCGCCTCCTGCTGGTCGTCCAGGGAATTAGCATTTCCAGCTCCAGAGAGCCTTCTGCAGGCCGGTGTCCCACTTGCCGCTGGGCCTGAGTCCCTCCTGCCCCTTTCAGGCCGGGGTGCTGTACCCTCACAGATCTGGGTCTCCCCTCTCCAGGGAACCTCCAACCCTCTATCCCCACCTCGCCTCAGTCTTGGGCTACTGCCAGTCACTATCTAGCCCCCACTCACTGGGGTGGACTGAAGTATAATTGCCACTCATCATCGGTGAGGAGGGTTTAGACCTGCTGCCTTTGTCTACCCCAGTACCCTTCCTGGCCTTTCATCAAAGACCTGCAGCCTGAGGGATTGCCAGGCTGGACTCCCCAGCTCCTCTAGCCTTCCCGCAGCCCTGCTCCACTCTCACTACCGTGCTCAGCTTCCAGGCAGCCAGGTCCTTCTCTCTCTATGGCCAGAGAGAGACTCTGCCCACTCCTGGCTCACTGGCCTTTTATAGGGCCGGCTGTGGCCTGATTGGGGCATGGCTCGGCTGCGGCTGCTTCCCCCAATCAGCGAGCCTTTAGCTCGCAGCCCCAGCCCTCTCCCAGGGCTGGCTTTAACCCTTTCTGAGCCAGAGCGGGTGACCACCCCGCTACAGGGACATATGGCACTGGAGAAAGGGAAAGGGTTTCCCATTGGTTGATACACTGTTTCCTATACTGGTTTTATTTTCATTTCCATGCTACATGCCTTCCAGGGCCAACATCATGTTCTTTGTACGCTCCAGCTATCCAACTGTCCTCTTTGTTAGGGATGCAAGGAGGGCCTCTCCCCTGTATGTTTCCACCCAGACTCCTCTTGATGTGTGTCTGAAACTTCTGCAGATCCTCACACCTACCTGCCGTACTCTGCCAAGAACAGGTGCCATAAAGGGACACTTTGAAATCTCTTTGCTGTCACTTCTTTATTGATTTCATTGAATCCATGACATGTTTTTTTCGAGGTAGAGAGCAGACTAGATGGTAAAGGGTTAGATTAAAATAACAGTCATTATCTCCAACTCTGGAACATGATTAGCAGCTCAACTAGATTTATGGACTGAGCATCCCCAACCATGAGAATTTTGCACATAAAAGGGACCTCATGCTGCGGAACTAACCACTTTAAAGTTCCATTTTAACTGACAGACAGTTCCAGCTGAAGATTACACTTGGGGAAAACATTTTAAAAGACATTTTAATAGCCTGGCTCTTTCATTGCTTTAGAAACACAAGATGGGGGAGGGATAGCTCAGTGGTTTGAGCATTGGCCTGCTAAACCCAGGGTTGTGAGTTCAATCCTTGAGGGGGCCACTTAGGGATCTGGGGCAAAATCAGTACTTGGTCCTGCTAGTGAAGGCAGGGGGCTAGACTCAATGACCTTTCAGGATCCCTTCCAGTTCTAGGAGATAGGATATCTCCATTTATTATTATAGTACCTTTTATTGAACCAACTTCTTTTGGTGAAAGAGACAAAGCTTTTGAGCTACTCAGAGCTTTTCTTCAGGTCGCTTTCATTATTAGTTCATTTTCATTATTGCCCATTTCAGTGCTCAGTAACATGCCTCCGGGATTCTCACTCAGCTCATCCAGGAGAGAGTCACCAAAACTTTGCTTCTCATGTCTGTTCCAGGCAACCCGAACTACGTGCCACACACCCTGTAATGCAGACAGAGGAATCCTCAGGGCACTATATACACACATAAAATAAGATATGTCGAGAGTGATTCTTTAATTCTCTGTGAATCCTGCAGGTGAACATGAGTTCACTGCCGTGGAGTTTTTGCATAAATGGAGTACACAGGAGGAGAAGAAAGCCAACTGAAAAGTATTTATGACATTAAGGAAATCACTATAACAGAGCTAATTCATCCCAACGAAGTTCCTGGACCAGGTTCGGATGTGAGATACTGTACAGTGTTGCAAATCTGGAAAAAGACTTCAGTGGAGGTTCTCCAGATTTACACCAGTGTAAGTGACATCAGAGTATGGCTTATTTTGTCTCTGTAGAAATATGTCTTCCGAAATGTTTCAGACCGGTATAATTTGATAGAGTAAATTTGGGATTACGCTGCTCCCTAACCATGTGACTTTATCTCCAATTAACATTCATGAGAATCTGCACAGATTGGGAAGAACAGATGTGGGGGATTTTTTTTTGTTCTGTTTTTAAAGTGTCTCTTTTTCCCTTCATCACTCAGGGAATAGCAGCGCTAAGCCCACTGGTACTCCTGCTGATATTTCAAAAAGGATTTCAGTGAGGTCGCTGCCACCTCTGTCTTTCATTGAAATACATTTTTAATGCTTGTGGCATGCAGGGAGCATTCTTTTCATATATCAGAGAAAAGTGAACCATAACTTTCAAATGGCTTATGTTGTGTCAGGTACAACATAATCAGAAATGTCTGAAAATGAAATATAAATGTAGTCTGCCAAAAACCAACCAACCAACCCTCCCTAATATTTTTTCTAGATGTTAAACTGTTGGCGGCACAAGTAGGTATAACCTGAAGTAATAGAATGGCATTAAGAAAAGGGAAATATTGGTAGGATACAATATATCTATTATCCTTTAGGGAATAATCCTGCAATGGCCAGATAGTGGATTAGATATGACAGATAATGTCTCTTCTATTTCTAATCCATCAGTTAAAGGGACACTGTTAATTACTTTTTAAACAATAATTTTACTATTTCGTTCCTGCCTCTGTCATTTGCAATACCCTCTTAGAAGCTTGAAAAGAACGCTTCTTTCCCAACCTGGATTGTTCAATAGGCAAACACTAGTTTTCCACCACCCTTTCCCGTGGGCATTTTCACTGGTGTTGAAATGTACATGGCTCTTCTCATTTTTCTTACTTGCATCACTGAAGTCAGATCAGCTCTGGGAACAGGTTTTCTTAGCTAACGTGTGCTCCAACTGGGAGGCTGTGCAGTAGCAAAGCAAAAGAAGACACTGCGGTTCCTCTTTAAGGAGTGGCTTTATTTTCAGGTTCTCAGCGCCAGCCTTTGATGAATTACTGCTTAGGAGAAGGAGGTTGGAAAGAAATGGACCAAATTCTGCTCCGATTAGAGAGCCTATTTTAGCAATTGGGGGTAGGCTTCCAAAGCAATGTTTTGCTGCTACCCCGCCTGCTGCATACATAAATTCCTGCCCACCATGGTCTGTGATCGCATCACTCTGCGCAGAACTGGCCTAAGAGTTTTGGGGCGAGTCAATGAGATGATTCTTCAGGAGACGTAACTGTTTCATTGTAAATGTGGTGAGTGGGTGTATCCCCAGCCTCCGGCTTCAATAGTGTCCCCCACTTGTTTGTATCAGTTTATGTTTTCGAGGCCCTTTGCAAGGAAAAGGGCTAGAAACTTGCTTAAAAACCAAAACCAAAAAGACCCCCAAACCCTGAGATTCTCGTTTATATTATATTTCTAGTTCCACAAAATCCTATTGCTGGCTCTGTCTCAGTACGTTTAATAGGAGTGGCACTATTGGGATGGAGAAAAGAATCTGGCCCGATACAAGGTAAGGCCTTGTCTATATTCAGTGTTGCTCTGTACACAAGTGCAACTTTGAATATAATCAAGACCTAGAGGGAGTGTCCTAAATGAAACTTCAAGGCCAAATCTATCCCTCAAAAGCAGCCAGCCTCTTTGTAACTATGGAGTGAGGGCAATGCTGAACAAAAGCTGCTGAATTCAGCTAACCTGCGGATTGTGTTAACCTGTCCAGGAAGATACAATCTGAGCCAAATGCTGAAGTTTTGTGCAGTGCTTGGTACAACCAGGGCTGCTGCCAAGGTCTTCATGTGACTCGCATGGTCCCAAAGCTCCCATTTGACCAGACTGTATCAGTTTGAAGGTGGATCAAAACAGCGCACCCCATTAAAAGATATATTGGCGGCGGTTAACAACATTACATGAGGCTTTTTCTGCCTGTTTGTATGCAAGGGATAGGAGTGGGAAGCCAGCTCCGTGATTGCCATTTAACCCCATTGGGTTTCTGACTTGGTTGCTCTGAGGCGTTTTGAAAGCATTGGTAGCACCTGAGAGGAAGAAGTCCAGATAGCCGTGGTCACTTGGAATGGCAGCAGTGACCTCTGACAGCGGTAATGCAGCCGTCACAGCTGTCACTCCATTTTGTTAAATTAGAACCTCATGTTCCAATCGGCATGTAAAGGGGAATTGGGAAATTAGTATCTTTTACATCAAAAGTTAATGGAACTCAAACGTCTGTCAGAAACACAATCATTAAGGAGACAGCATGGTGGGTGGGGAATGATTGTTTCAGAGGGTTTGTTTGTTTTCCGCTGACTTGACTCAGCAGGAAGGATATTCTCTCACCCATTGCCCCTACCTGCCCTGCCTGCAAACAAGAAGGAACCATTTCCAGCTTTTCTCAGAACCAGGGAGATCATCTCTACAGACCAGACTCCGCCATCCGAGATGACAGCCTGGTCGACAGACTCGTGCTAACAGGGCTTGCATTGATGCTCTAAAAACAGGGGTGTCAATGTTGCTGCTCAGGCTCTCAAACCTTTGGGGTTGGGTGGGCCTGAGAGCCCAGATTGCAAAGCTCACCCAGCTATTGTTAGCACGCCAGTGCGAGCCCCACTGATACAAGTCTGTCAACCCGGGCACGGATGCTCGCTCCCAGCTGCAGGGTAGACGTACCCATGGAGGCTGACAGACCTCGTGACTTTCTCTGGCTCTGTAGCTCACTGATTGACTAAACACAACCCCTGTTGCTTAGTGTCACCGTGCAGGGAGTCAATGTGGCGTAAGACGGTGCTTGTAGGGCCAGGAGGCCTAGGGGTTGCTGCGCCTGACCTCTAGCCCCTTGTTTCCCTAGTGGAGGTGCTTCAGGATTTTAGGCGGTGGGGTAGAGGGACCCAGGCCCTCCCTCTCCAGTGGGTCCCAGACCAGGACCCTGTGTGAGTCGACCCCCTGAACAGGGGGCCCTTGCAGCAGGGAGTCTAAATCACCTGCTCTGGGCTACTTCCTACCACTGTCCCTTCATTGGGGTGGCTTGTCTCCCAGTGTCCCTTTGTGAATCTTGGGCAGTGCCTTGCCATAGACCCAGGCTCCTTCGGGCGGGGCAGTCATAGGATTGGTGTGGCCGAACCCTACAATGTGTCTGTGCTTCAGTCATCCAGTTACCTCAGGTGCTGGAGGCTCCTAGTCTCCCTTGGCCAGGGAGACAGTACTTACTCCCTGATGGCTGCCTCAGCTGGTAGGCTAGTGACCCTTCTTCTCAGGTAGGGAGGCAGGTAGCTCTTGCCTCTTTGCCAGTCAGCCCTAAACTGAGCCAGGCTCTCTCCTTTTCTCCCCCCTCCAGACCTGGCATTGATTGCAGGTATAGTGGGGCAGGGCTAGGTGGGCCCAAAGGCTCTCTTTACCCCTGCTTTGCTGATGGGCAGTTTCTCTGCTTCATCACAGTGGTAATGCATAACTGAGAAAAGACTCAGGCACTAAGTTAAGCAGCCTGCTCTGAGCTAGACTGTTGGGAATGGTCCCCAAGGTACCACTCAGCTAGCTGAGTATTGCTGGAGCTCAGGGTGCTCTGAGCACATCCCTCATGTGCCCCTAAGCTGAGGTGTCTGGGACTGGGTGGTGTGGAGCCAACTACACCAGCTTTATGCCACCACAGATCCCCTGGACACTGGGGAGTCCCAGTTGCCCTACTAGGACAACTGCCTGAGAAGTGCAAAGCACCCACATAGTTAAATGAGTTCTTAGCCCAGCGTTTCCCTAAATCCTGTCTTAGGCTATGTCTGCACTACGCGGTAAGTCGACCTACGCTACTCAACTTAACGTAGCTGGAGTCAACGTACCTTAGGTCGAGTTACCGCAGGATCTACACCGTGGGGGGTCGATGGGAGAAAATCTCCCGTCATCTTACTTTACTCTTCTTGTTGGGGGTAGAGTACAGGGGTCGACTGGAGAGCGATCGGCAGTCGATTTGGCGGGTCTTTACTAGACCCACTAAATTGACCGCCGGTGAATCGATCTCAGAAAGTCGATCCCTGCTGTAGTGTAGACCTGCCCTTAGATTTAGCTGCCATGGAAGGGTCTGCTAACTATACTACACACCCTTGCTCCTTGCCATACTCCCCTTTATCTGCTTCACTCTTTTCTATCTCATTGCTTTCTCTTATAAATCATTTGTTCCCTACAGCTGTGCCTTGTGCAGCTTTCCCAGCTCACAGACCACACCAGCAGACACAGCCTAGTAGTTAATTACGTTCTGTCTGCCTAAAATTCCTTCAGGCATTTCAGTTGGTTCTGGTATATTTTCAATTCCTGTCCTAAATTCTTGTGCAGCAACTACTGTGTCAAACTACTACAGTGTTTTGCTCTGGTGGTTGAAGCAACCCCTATACACACACACATAGGCACGTATAGTAGTAAATGACTTTGGGATTTTTAGAGGAAGAAGACTAAGTACATGCAAGATCATCTTCATTATCATGTTAGGATCCCATTCAGCAGATCCATCACTACTTCAGACAGCCATCACAGAACATCTAGAGCTGAACACCTTGTTGTCATATATCAGATATTTTCACAACATGGCATTCTTTCTGAGATATGATTTTGGATTTGTGGACATGTCTTGTTTTTGTTTGTTTGCTGTATATGCTCCGCCTTTTGTGTATGTACTGTCTTATTTGTAATTTATCCTTCGCTTTATTGGAAACCAATACCAAAAATGGTCACAATAAAAAAATATGAAGGAACAAGGAAGAGCTGAAATCATAAGCAAAAATGAAAGTGTTCCTCCTCATAATAAATAAAAGAATAATACTAGACATATAATATGTGCCAGTGATAAAGAAAGCAATAATTTCATTGACATATTGACTTTATTGTGATAAGTTGTATTTTTCTCCAGCTAGTATGTAATATTGCAGTGAGACAAATTTAACTTGAGAAGATATTTTCCTTTTTAATGGCAACCACTGTATAGTAGAGATGGAAGAATTGTCTCAGAGCAAACCGTTTTTCAGCTAATGGTTGATATTTAAGGGGGGAATGAAGAAGGCCAAAAAGTAGGTGCGTGTGTTTGAGTCAGCATGGTGGAGTGGAGAAGCTGGAGGGGAAGAATGGATGAAACTGTGATATCTCCTATGCTCTGGAATAGTCTCCCAATGCAAGTGATGAAGTTGGGTAATTTGTAACTGGATTGACAAAGCACTGGAGAATATTCAGTAGGGTGCAATCCTATGTTGGCAGGAGGGGAACTAGATTTTTCCTTTTCCCATGTCTGTAATACTCTGTTGGTTGCAGGTGGTGGTGGTGGTGGTGGGGAAATATAAGTGGAAGATTATTTAACCCATCACTGTGTGAAGATTTTTCCTTAGCTGCTGTCTAAAAGACACACTCCTGAATGTCTTCTTGGCTATTGCTGTCGACAATCTTGCGAATGCACAAGAGCTAACCAAGGTATGTGTGAAACATCTGGCTCTTCAACCCATACTTGTTCCGGAGGGACTGTAGTATGTGATCTCCATTCTGCAAATGTGATTAATGAATTCTTATTGCATTCTCCCACTATGACCCTAGAATTCTGTATACGCCACTGGTGGTGGATCTAAATGAACTATCCTACTCCAGCCAACCTCTGGTGGCCTTGAGATTTCTGTACAAGTGTCATGCGCCTGTGGCACATTTCTTTACCCATTTCCATTGCTGCAACCCTTATTTAGGGAGTTGATTTTGAAAGATACATTCCTTTTTGCTTAGTAATGAAGATCTGTGCATGTGCATCTTTGTACCTCTGAGCTCTCCTTATTCTTTAGATTCCCTATTATTATTATTAATAATAATAATATTGTTTTATTTTATTATAGAGTGGGTAGTGAGCACTTTTCCTTGCTATCACACAAAAGTGAAGAAGGACCTCTGGCTATTAGCTAGTTTCAGGGGCAGCGGTGAACCAGTTGAAGGTTTTTAGCTGACTCAATAGCATATTTTGAAGCTCTCGCCTGGGGAAATTCAATGATTCATGTCCTATTGCCTAGTTTGGTGTTTCGTGCTAATACTTCTTACCTTGCCGAATTTCAGTACAAATCAGAGAATTAAAATCCTCCAGTCAGGTCTGTGGAAAGCCACTTGCAAAAGGCCTTTACAGAGTTTCAGTCAAGATATTAAAACCTGCCTGCCCCTTGGCAGAGGCAAGAGAAATTCGACACACAGGCCAGAGCATTGGCAGAATGCCAGGACCTGGCAAGAGCTTAAAATGAAGCTGAGGTAGCTTTACTTTAATACTTTGTTTTACATTGGAACATCCCTTATGGGAAAATATATATACCCCAGGATTGTGCTGGAAAGGTCCAAAATGCTACAGCTTACCATAGCAGAATCCTTCTTCGGTCTCTATGGTTTTGTTTACACATTTCTAACTCGTTCTCATTGGCAAATAAAATTAACACAAGGCCTGTTGTAATGCTGCTCCCTCTGCTACAATGGTGTGGCCCCTGCTAATTAACGAGGAGAAATGTGTTTGTCCAGCAACTAGCACAACGGGATCCTGGTCCATGACGGGGGCTCCTAGGCGCTAAGATAATACAATAAGAAATAATAATATCCCTTTGGGCAGTTATATTTCACAGACTTTTACGGGTTATTCCTTCTATAATAAAATGATCACTAATCCTTGTGCTTGTTGCACCGGCTAGTGGGAGAGTTTTCCTTGGTAGAGCTGTGACAATGCTTGCCAGTCAGTGGCATGCCGGGAAATTTTCAGTCAGGCATGCAGTTGTACATTGGCACGCAAGATGGCGTCCTCTGTGCGGTGTGACCTTGCACATACAGTACACGTGAGGTCATGCTATGCGGAGGATGCCATTTTGTTCTACAAAATGGCATCCTCCACACAAGTGCAGGGCCAGACAGAATTGTCCTGCAGGCACAGCCAGACTGAGGCATTCAATGCATGCCTTGCAGACACCGACAGCACGCCACTGTTGCCAGTAGTTCAGAGATACCATACATCCCTAATAGTTCTTGCGGTGGGAAGCCAGACTAAAAGAAGGTCCCTTATCCCACCCCAATTGCTGCCACTGAGATCCAAACACAGTTAACTATACCATGGTACAGGGCTGTTTTAGGGTTGAACTTTTCTTCTACTGTCCTCCCTCTCTGCTAGGCAGCTGCATTGCTGCCTTCAGACTGCAGCTCTGAATGGAGCTTTGTTTCCTGAAAGCGGATGTCTGATGTATAGCACAAGAAAGGGATAATGGGTATCAGGTGTATAATAAATGTTCCTCTGTGTGTGAGATCATGTTTTCTGCATCTCTTTTCTGTTATGATTCATTTGAGTCCTGACTTTTGGGGATGGGGCTTAGTTTTACTGGGGAAGATTTTCCCTTTCAGAAACTCAGCTGTTTCTGTGCATTATAAAGTCCATACATTCTTATAATAGAGATTTATGATCCTCTCCATAGGTGCATTTAACCCCTCCCATGCAGATTTGTGGGAGTCACTTGCATGCAAGAATAAAAGACTGGGCCCCTTAGAGTTCTTGTCTAATGAAGCTCAGGGGAGAGGGATAGCTCAGTGGTTTGACCATTGGCCTGCTAAACCCAGTGTTGTGAGTTCAATTCTTGAGAGGGCCATTTAGAGATCTAAGGCAAAATCAATACTTGGTCCTGCTAGTAAAGGCAGGGGATTGGACTCAATGACCTTTCAAGGTCCCTTCCAGTTCTATGAGCTAGATATCTCTCTTCTTTTCCAGTCCTTTTAACTTTCCCCTTTTGCTTATTTCAGAAGCTGACTCTGATGGTTAGAAAACTGCCTTTGTTAGAGTTTATAGAGTGCAATTAAATATTGACAGAATCAAAAAGTATTGCCAAATCACCAAGCTTTTTTCGAAACTCTCTTTTACTTCATGGATCCAAAAATCACTAGGGTTTTCAAAAGGGAAGGAAAAAGATAAAAGTAATTCAATTACGCGGCCTACCTAGAGAATGAGAGATTTATTGCTAAGTAAATATGATCATGTAAAATCCAAAATGGCCTGGAGCTATAATTAAATTACTCGGGAGTCAGTTGACCCCAGAGACTTCCTTTGACAATTACATTTTAAAACTCATCAAGATCAGTGTTGCATACAATGTCCAAATACCGTAAGTAACCTGAAAATGACTGTTTGGGGAGGACAAAAAACCCCTCCCCACTTCCATTTAGGTCTGCCTCTGTTCAGCCAGCACCACCTGTATTAGATATGAAATAGGACATGGTTTATCACATGACTTGAACTTAGTCTGTAGCATTAACCAGTGGATTGTCACTGATCGTGGAAACCAGCAGAGTCATGGATGCTGCATGTCAGTGCAGTTTAGTAAGCGGAAACCTGATTAGAAAACTGACCAGTACTGTAAAGCAACTCCCTCAGAATACAAACTCCTCAAGTATTCCCTCTTCTGCTTTGAATAAGAGTGTGTGCTGCCCATGGGCGGCAGGTATCAAAGGCAGGGGCAGGCTCAGCCTACCCAATCTGCCTGCGTGGCCCAGCCCACCCTCTCTCCAGGGCCCCTCCAGCTTCCCGCCTCGGGCCCGCAGCTCTTCTTTCCCATGTGGCCGAGTCCTGGGCCCGTGGCGCCAGAACCATGGGGGGAGGGAGGGGACCATAGCTCTCCCACTTCCCCTCCTCTTCCACCTCAGCCCCACCATCCCACCCCCTGGCCAGGCCAGTGTGGAGCTCTGCTGGGGAGCCCGGGCAGCTGTAGGGAGCTGCGGCAGTCGGCAGACCTTCCACCTGCCCGGGGTGTGGGGGGGGGGGCTGAGAGCAGCCTCCAGCCTGTGTCCCCACCCCGCAGCCGCCCAGGGCAGGAGGAGGGTCTGCGACTCTATCCCGGCTCCCCACAGCTGCCCACGTGGCTCTCCCCGACCTGGCTCTGGCCGGAAGGGGGGCCTCGTAGCCGCAGCCCGGCTACGGCAAGAGCCGCATGGGCAACTGTGAGGATCCACGGAGTCACGGACCCTCCACTTGCCCCGGGCGGGCAGGGACACAGGCCAGGGACTGCTCGGGTCCCCCGTGGCTCCCCACAGCTGCCCGCCCAACTCTTATCATGGCCGGGCCGCGGCTCCGAGGCCCCCCGCAACCCCGGCCAGAGCTGGGTCGGGGAGAGCCACGTGGGCAGCTGTGGGGAGCCGGGATACAGTCACAGACCCTCCTCCTGCCCTGGGCGGCTGGGGGGTGGGGACACGGGCAAGGGGCTGCCTTCGCCTCCACTTCGGGCAGTTATTTTTAGTGAAAGTCACGGATAGGTCACGCGCAATAAACAAAACTTCACAGAAGCCCCAAGACCTGTCCCTGATTTTCACTAAAAATAACTGTGACAGAATGGGGAAGGAGAGGGTCCAGCCCCTACCGCTGCTGCGGCTCCAGGGTCTCCCAGGCATCCACAGCAGCTCAGAGATCGAGGGTCTCTCCACCGCCCATGGTGGCCGAGAACTACAGGGGCTGGCGGCGGGGAGCTGTGATGGGGCCTGCTGCCTACAACTGCTCTGGGGCCCCTGCTGGCTGATAGCTCCAGCCCTACTGGCCCCAGAGCTGAAGTGGAAAATGTCACTGAGGGCTCTGGTACTCACGGATTCCGAAAGCTGGGAATGGGTGACCGGGGATGGATCACTTGATGATTACCTGTTCTGTTCATTCCCTCTGATGCATCTGGCATTGACCACTTTTGGTCTGACCCAGTATGGCTGTTTCTTATGTTCTTATGACCTCCGTGACATAATCTTAGCCTTATTGATGATAATTCTGAGCATTCATATCAAAGTTTTCATCCATTGATCAGATGCATGTTCCAGTGTAGGGCTCATGGACTAGATATCAGCTTCAGGGAAGGAATGATGATCAAGTGGTTAGAGTACAGGCCTAGGAGACAGGAATGCTGGGTTCTGTTCAGACCCACTAAAGTGTCCCCAAGCAAATCATTTATAACTTTCCTATCTGCTTTCCCTTCTGTAAAATGAGGATACTGATAGAGATGTATGACCCAGGGCGGCGGCTGTTGCTGTTGGTAGTAGTAGTAATATTGGATTTGTATTGCGGTAGCAACTATGAGCCAACACAGTCTCTCTCTCTCTGCCTCAAAGAGAGCTTACAATTTAAGTGTAAGACAGACATTTAATTAATACGTGTATAGTGCTTTGAGAACCCTGGATAGAAGGTGCTACAGAACTATTATCATCTTTATTTTATTCTGAAACACTTGTCTGCTAAACACTGTAGTTGTTCTAAGTTATGTATTGCTAAATTTGTAAATACAATACAAGCAGTTTTCTTGAGCTACAGAGTCTATCAAAATGTTGTGCTGCAGTTAAGAGTGGCTTAGAAGCAGGAAATGTAATCGTCTACTTTCTAAGGTTTATGTTCAGTGAATGAGATATTAAAAAAAAAAGGCAATGACAACATTTAAACCTTTGTGATCGTATTAAAGCTGGCTAGAACTTGGGAGAAGAGACAATCAGAGAACCCCAGCCCATAAAAACAAAACAGTCAAACCTTCGTCAAATTACAGCACTTTCAGATTTTATACCCCAACGGATTCATATTCTGCAAAATAAAAATATACATTTGACTTACAGTAAGAGTCTCAAGTGATTGATAAATGTACTGGAAGTTGGCAGCTGAGAAACATTGACTTGGTATAATTGTTTAATGGAGCGTTTTCCTCTTGGTCTGGCTTGGATTCCTTCTTTAACTGCAATGAGGATTTGCTCATTATAGATGCACTAATATCTGGAGAGAAAAAAGCAAGCTTGAAAGCCTAATGGCAGAGGGTTTTTTCCCACATCTATAATTCACTGTCATTCTTTCCCCTTGAAAAGAGGAAGGAAAAGGAAACCAATTTCAAAGTGAGTTAAATCTGATCAAATACTATTAAATTCAGACCAGTTACTTGTTCTTGCCTATACTATTCCAGGGTGGAGAAATCCATGTGTAGGCTATGCACTCGTTAATATCTCACAAAGCTAATCCTCAACTGCAGGAGGCGGTCAAATAGCATCCTACAGAGTGCTACCGTGTGGTCTATAACTGCCCTCATCTTTGAAGAGTGATTAGACTCAGAGTAGTGATGTTAAAAGTGGCATTGTAGGGTTCCATGATTATCTTTCCATAATTTCCCTGACAAATTGGACTAGTTTGAAGGTTAGAAAGGCCGGCCCTGGGATCTGAGCCCAGCCGGGGTCTGTTTCCATGGCTCACCGTCAGAAATAAAGATTCAGCAGTCAGAACGAAACAATGGTGTTGATGGTGCACTCACTAGAACACAGGAGATCATGCTTCTGCAACTGTATGGGTCCTGCAATGCTAACAGGAGTGGCAAACACAGAAAGTGGTTATGGGTTTTTTTGGAAGAGTCAACTGATGTGTTTCTCAAGGCACACATGGAGCAGACCTGCTATAGAGGTCTGCTTGGGCCTAGTTTTAAAGCCTGACCTGACCCGGCCAGAGTCTGAGTGGGTCAAGTTGTTTTCAGACCTGACCCAAACCCAACACTTCCCCCTGAACCTGTGTCAGCACTGCTGCCACCTCATCCTTGGGGCTTGACCTGGTGGGGGCTTCCCACTCCTCACGCCCCATGACTGCCTTCCGTCTGCCTCCTGCTGCCTGCTGTCCAGGGGGTTGGCGCAGCGACTGGGAGACCTTGAGCCACAGCACCTCACACTCGGCAGCACACAGAGCGCAGCAAGGCGGTGGTGGCTGGAAAGAGTGGGGCATGCAGCCGCCCCTTCACAAACCCCTGGGCAGGAGGAGGTGATCGGAGACTACCGGACCCAAGCCCGAACAGGGTCATTTAACCCAACCCTGGTATTTGGGTCCCGTTGAGTTCAGGTCAGGTTGCAAACTTCTAATGTGCTGAGTAAGAAGGAGCTATCTTTACATGAGCATCTTTCTGGCCATAACCGTCATTTAATATGGCTTCCAATTTCAGGTCCGCTAGGGTAAATCTGAAGTAACTCCATTGAAATCAATGGAGTTACACCCGTGTAAAATTGGTGTGAATAAGTTCAGATTCAGGTCCTCTGGTACATTATTTGTTTTAAGAAAAAATACTTTCAGTCTAATCAATGGGACGTGGCCTTATTTTACACCCAAAATGTCATGCTCTTTTATATTCTCTTTCCACGTTGTGGCACATGTTGCCTGATTATGATGAGAAGAGGTATAAGAAGATGCCCTCAGAGACTAGAGATTCCACCCAGCATGCAGTTCTCCCTCTTGGTCTGAGTAGAAGGAACCTAAGCAGATGGAACCACACAGAACCTTGCATTATAGGATTTCCAGTATTGACAGACTTTGCCACTGTATAAAGATGAGGGCAGCTGCCGTCAGCTCCATTTTATGCAGAGTAGTTGCAGCCTTCAGGCTCATAACTTGCTAATATGGCACCAGACAGGTAAAGCCCATGGGCCCTGCTCAGGAAAATATGCTGTAACAAATCATGCAGTTGTGTCCTTTAACAAAACCTGAACGCAGTGTTTCAGAGTGTTTAATTGTTACTTAGTTAAAAAGTGGCTGTGACAGTTGTGTATCACTTGTGGCCATTTATGAGTTCAGTTGATTTTCATCCTAGGTCTTTAACTAAATGATGAATGATGTAAACCTGGATTTGTCTTGATTTTGGAAACAGGATGAAGAGGAGATGGAAGAAGCTACCAATCAAAAGCTTGCACTCCAGAAGGCCAAGGAGGTAGCAGAAGTCAGTCCTATGTCTGCAGCTAATATTTCCATAGCAGCGTAAGCGTAATTTTTATTATTTGGGAACTTTGTTTCTATTCTTCAGACTGAGTATGTATCTGTTCCATTGTAGCAACTCATAGGGCACATGAATTCTGATGTACAATATGAAGGACTAACAAGGAGTGTAGGTTGATTTGAATACTTCAGTGTCGATCACTTAGTTTTGTGTTTTATTTGGTACCTTTGCATTTAGTTTGTTTTTCTTTGAAATATCATTGTCTCTGCATCACTGGAAAAGAAATGCATTTTAGAGCATTTTTAAGTTGTCCTAGGAAAGACTTCACCAGGTGAACTGTTATCATTTCACTTCAGACTTTCGTTCGAAGATGCGTGTGTATGACATATAAAATATAGTTTAAATACAATAATCTGTGCTTTGATAACTGAATTGTGAAGACCACCTCCTGAATTTCAGACACAATAGTGGCTTTGCATGCCCTTTGCTCTCAAAAAAAGCCATTTGAGTGTGCAAAATGGGACACTGCACATGTGAACAGGCACTCCTATGCACCTGGTTCACATTCACAAGTATCATCTCGCACATGCAAATGTAGGCTTTGTGCATGGAAGTGGGCGTGCTTGTGCGATCTCACTTTGGAAGAATGCTTAGAAAATATTACTCTTTGGGCCAGCTTTTCAAATATATGAATCTAAACTTCTCCTGCAGAACATGAATAGGCAGGTGGAAATAGGTAATTTTCAGACATGTGCTGAGGTCTTTGAGGTCATTGGGAGTTTTGCCTGCATAGGGTAAGGACTTAATTTGGTACACACAATTGCTTGTTTGCACATATAACACACATTTTGCGTGTGCTTCTTAGGGAGCCTGTGTTTGAAAATGAACACATTTTGAAATGTACTGATTGACACACACAATTATTCAATTTATGCAATTCCATGGGGATGTTTGAGTGTCTTTGTGTCAAAAATACTGCCCTGCTGTTTGCTGGGAGCTGCAAGTATTTCCCGACAGCCTCCAGTCCTCAGAAAGGGGCAGCTGGAAATGACTCCAAGGAGCAGGGAAGCCTAAACTTATTTAGAATAATTTCCTGTCCAGGTGTGTTCCAAAATATCCGTTGTCCAGAGAGAACCCTATTTAAGTGAACAATTTTCTAATATATTTTCCCCAATGTAAATCCATCTCATGAGGCCTTCATTAGTGTGTATTTAATCTAGAATCATGTTATTTCAGAAACAAGGGTGTAAATGAAACTTGTTCACTACATTTGAAAAAAAGAAAAGAATATTCTTAATCTGTTTAGCATTTTTTGCAATTCATATTTGTAGAATGCATATATGGTTAGAATTATAGATCATTCTCCTGTTATAATGATTTGCCAGCCTCAAAAAGAAATCACATGAGAAAAGTTACTCTTATTCTTTGATTTACTTCCGTGTACTGTAATTTTAAAATGTAAGATGGCATTGTTTATTCTATTATTGTTATAAAATGATTGTATATGTGAAGATTACTGAGAACCCCAAACTCCCATTGACTTTAATGGGCCCAGGATTTCACCCCAGATTCTTAGTTACCAACAGTAGTTTTAGTTCCTGATTTTTCATCAAGCTTTAAGCTGGTTTTTGATATCACATGATCAGTTTTGTGACTACAGTTACATGTAAGTGCAAAATTGCAAGTTACTATTTGTTGTGCCTACAGTTATATCTGCTCAGACACCTATGTGCCTGATGTGTAGGTACATTCAGGCGGTTAGGCTTATAAAATGAATGCAGTTGCTGGTGCAATTAGTTGTTTCCACATTTAACAGCAGTAGCAAAATTGTGCTTGCAATACTAGAGGCCACATTTGGAAATGTAGAATTTATTTTTTCAACAGTGTGTCTCTAGACAAGCTGTATCCGCTGTATAGAAGCATGAGATACTTACAAGGCTACTGTGATTTACTTGCATGTGTGAGTGAGTGATATTAGGTTGGGAGAAAGACTGAAGAATAAATAGATGGGTGATGGAATGAATAAACATAGACAGAAGGACAGATTAGTGGTTAGAAGGTAAGTACATGTGTGGATGGATTGTTGGTTGGTGACAGACAGGTGGTTTAATAGATGGATGTAACAGAGATCTGAGTGATGTATAAATCTATCCACACTGAATTTTTTTCTTTGAAATTTGTGTTTATAATTTTAATAGGTCTTTATTTTTAAAAAAGGCTTTATTTGATTTTGTTCTCTTAGTTTTAAACTTACTTTTCAAAAAGCATATTTTAAAATGAATTTCTATCATAATGGATGACCTGAGTATAAACCAATATTATGAAAATGTGTTTCAAAAGTCCCTCTGCCTGTGTCAACTAAAATAACTCTCTTTCTTCCAGTGTTCTGTAGAGAGAGTGTTGTGGTTCAAGTGTTTTCTTAGTAATGTTGTTCACGTTAGCAGAATGGTTCTCAATGAACATTGTAGTGTGACTCTTAATATGGTTTGTCATTAATTTGGTGGACCTGTCCTTTGGGTTCCTAGAACCTACAGAGGTGGCAAAACCATCCTGGTGTTCAGTCTGGTAAAAAGTCATTTCTATTTTCCCTCTCTTGTGTTTGAACAGTAAGATACTGTGTTTGCTCCTTTGCCTCTATTTCTTGTCAGTTTTGTAACATTTGTGCTATAAGTGGGAGCGACTCCTGCGCCCCTTCGTCTAATCCTCTTCACTCCTATTTCCTCATCTGATCAAAGTCTACATTTTGGAAATTCCTTATCGTGCATTTACACTACAGTGGGTGGCAGCATCCTCATGCATTACTGCGATGTGTATGTACTGTGCATTTGTTTGTATGTGGAGGTGTACATGTGTATCCATATGCCTGTGATTGTCTGTACTTGTCCTTTTGCTCTGCTATGGAAAATAACCTCATTTAACAACAGCTAAGCTCCAGGAAGAATTCAGCTTACTGAATCAGTTATAGAACTTGCTTTCTAGGCTACAAAAGTGAGTTGCTTCTTTAGTAGGGCAACCTAATTTCAGTGTATTAAGTGATATCTTAGAATTTTGCAGATGCATAGGATTCAGTGCGAACAAGGATTATTTTTTGGTTGGTAGACGGTAAAGTCCTACTACTGAACCTTGAAACTGTTTTAATAATTTATTGATCTTTGCAGTCAAGTAAGGATATCATCTGTCTCATAACTGACTCAGAAGGTGCTATATGATAATACTGCATCTATAACTGGGAGAGGCAATGAAGTAAGTTATTGTAGCTCGTGGTTTGTTGATCTTTAAGGATGTCAGTGGTTCAACTTCTACTCCATAAAAAGGGCTAATAAGAGTGGATTGATTTGGCCATGACTTGGCTTTTTTTTACCTGGTGAACTCTATCCTGAATAGGCTTATTATTTTCTTTTTCAGGATTGAAGCTGATATGAGACATTTTTCTGTTGCGATGTTTGTTTTAAAACAAGATGTTTGTTTAATCTATGTTTTACATTTTAGTTTTAGCTCATTATTTTCATTCTGGTTTTGTGATTTTTTTTTCTGTTTAGCGTTTTCCTTGCTTTATTGTTTCTTGAGGTGAGTTTGGGTTTGTTCAGTTTACCCAGAGTTGTCCTTTGAAAACCTCTGTTTCGTATAGCATTTAAATTGCTCGGCCTCGTGAACTGAGCTACTGTAATAACAGATGGGACTTGACAACAAGCCATTGGTGCAGTTTCCTTGGTGTCGAAAATGGAGGAGAGAGGGGGAAGCCCATCTTAGGGGAATTCCCCTTTAATTGTAGAGTTCATTAGTTGATAGAACAAGTTACTGGGAGGCAGGAATCAGTGCTTTGTTTCTTGCTCTGCCACTAACTCACGATGGGAGTTGGGGCAACTCATTTAACTTTTCTGTGTCTCGGTGGGGAAAACAGGGTGGTGACTTATTAACTTTGTGGAGCGTGAGGCTCCATCGGTCAATGTGTAAAGCACTTTGAGTCCTTACGTGAGAGGCACCAGAGAAGTGCATCACATCAGGATTGAGGATTAAGGCACAAAGCCCCTATTTCGAAATGTAATTTTTTGTAGTTAAGTTTGCTGTTTCACAAACCTTCAGTCCCAAACACCACACCTTTGAGTTCCTCCTCCACCTCTTCTTTCCCAGCCAGAGAGATGCACCAATGTCATGTACAAAAGGGGCTGCATTAAACAAAAGCACACACCAGCTCTCTTCACAGTTCAGTTGACCAGACTGACAGACAAGTTATGACTCATAAAGGAATCTGAAAGCCCACGCAAGCACATCCACTTCACCACTGGTGCTCAGAAGCTACTGAGGCAGAACTTGTGCTTAAAATAAATAACCTTTGTATTTTTTATTCCTATGTTTCCAGTGGGTCTGCCTCAAACTCTTCTTGGGGAAAGTCTTAAAACAGCAGCAACAGCCAAATTACTAAATTTAGAACAACCTGCAAAATAGTTGTGCCTAAGTTGTCACACTGAGTGATTTTTTCCCCCCAAGATGGTAATGGTTTTGAGTTGTTGCTGGCTTCCAAGAGTCGAAGCATAACATGCTATACAATAGGTCTCCAGCTGGAGATTTTGATGGGAGCGGGAATTCCCAGATGTGATGGCTGTAACCCTGTATGGAGTGATAAGGAGACAGTTTCTCCTTGTAGCGGAATATACGGGCCAAATCCCTCACTAAGAGCTGTCTCTAGGACCGACCACGTAATTGACCACTTTAAATGACTCCATGTGTTTTCCAGTTAACAACCCTCTCTGTTAGGCAACTGGTTTTTGCTGGTCCCTTATGTAGTTGCTTAAGGCTTTTTACTTGTGTGCTCAGCTAAGACCTCCTGCTCACAGGTAAACCCTACCAATTGCATTGCTAGCTCTGAGCCAAGGGTGCTGCCAACTCATCATAAATTGGTAAATAAATAAAAAGATGTGATGTTAAAATACCAAAGACAGTACATGAAAGAGCAGGTACAGGAGCACACTTCCATCGTTCACAAACACTTCTTAGTGGTCATCTGTCCCTTTTGTACAGGTTTGGGGATGAAGGTCTGGTC